GAAATCCTGCATGAAAACATCGGAAGTTTGGGGGTAAAGATCCTCACCTCGCGAAGCTTCTGTAGCTTCTCCACTGCACCTGCCTGGCAGCTGGGAATTTCGGCTGGAACTTGTTGGATACCCTCTGGTTATTTAACATAGCCATGGAAAATCACCATTTTTAATAGGTAAACCATCTATAAATGGGCCATTTCCCATGGCTATGTTAAATAACCAGAGGGTAAGTCTTTCAAGTTGGAAAAAAATGAACATGAACGAACATCGGCTTGCCCAAAAAGAAAAAACAGAAAAAGGCTCCTGGGAATGGGGGTTGCCTAGATAAAAATTTTTCTGGGCTTGCCAATGAGCCACAAACAGGTGGACATCATCAGCAAACATGAGGCTATGACTAAGTCACAAGAGTGAGAATACGAGCAGCAAAAGTATCCGGTCAAATAAAGATTTAAAGATTAATAACCTATTATGAACATGGCGAAGTAATCTTCTTTCATCTTTTACACCGTGAAGAAGGCAAAGTCGCTGATTTTTTGTCATTCCCTTCCAGGCTTCATGGTGAAGTCCTTCATCCAGATTTCAGACGATAAAAATGTCTCTGCAGGTTGGATCAAAGGTAGATAGATAAAAGATTAGAAAAATATTCTGTTATGAGATTTATCCTAAGTTTTCATGAAATCCTGTTATGAGGTTCCTGCAAAAAAATGAATTCATCATACTTGCTGGTGCTTACGTAGGGAATGGCATGACGGGGGAATGACCACATCCATAAACTATGTGTCATCATCCCATTCCCCCGTACCCCCTTTAGCGCCAGCAAGTTTGCCATTATGTTGGATTATGTATAGATCGTTGCTATACTATAATATTGCATTAATATTATATAGGTAGCCGCTCTCCTTTTTGCCGCCTTGAAAGGGAGTTGTATGAGCTCTCTGCCGGTGACTGTTGGCATGAGAGGTCTTCCTGCTGCTACCACTCAGAGGTGTAGTCTGGGACGGGACGGGAGGGGGCTTGAGCCCCGGCATCATTCAATTGGCAACCTGTCATCAGGTAGCCGCTCTCCTTTTTGCCGCCTTGAAAGGGAGTTGTATGAGCTCTCTGCCGGTGATTGTTGGCATGAGAGGTCTTCCTGCTACCATCCACCCCAGTCTTTCCAATGCCTTGCTCAAAGCCATCTGCACCTCTGAGTAGATAATACCATGCACCTGGTGGGATTCCACACTCAAGAAAAGCCATGATGCGCTCGAGGGTGATCGCATATCCACCAGCAAACAAATGAATTAGGGCCCTTGTCTTAGGGTTGATCTTCTCTTCGAAGGTGGTGACCATGACCTCCTGCAGGTAGATTTCCATCGTGCGGGCACTCAACCAACGTCCCCTGCGCCTTACCAACTCCGGATCTGCAGCCCTCCGGTCAGGTAGGTTGAGTGCCCCAAGCAACTGAGAAAATCTCTTCCGCAAAGTCGAGGCTGAATACGGCCACAGCTTGTCTGCATGATCTGCACGGGCATACATCTTTGTCAAAAATTGGATGACATCAGATTGGTCGATCCTAGCAGCTTGGTGACGGGCCGCCCTGCCCCGTGTCTTCGGTTGTCTAATGACAACTAAAACGAAGGGGGTGCCGGGAGCTGAGTCACAAGGCAAGATCAGCTCGGCTCTTGTAGCTGCTAAAATTTCCCCAATCCTCATAATGCCAGTCCAACCAATGAGCAGCACCGCCGCTTCGTGTGGCCACCCCCACATCAGCGCTGCTGTCACCATTGCCGCAAGAACAGTAAGAGGCATTGCCGGGTGATGCTGCGTAGGCTCATCTGACAGCCAGGCAAAAGCCAGATCCCACGCTCCATTCAGCTGCCTCCTGATCAGCGGCCTTTCAACTGCTATGGCGTTGATGGTTTCCGAGAAAATCCCATAGCTTTTTCCCCCAGCATAAAGAGCCCTGCCGTATTCGATCAGCAGATTTGAAATGCGTTCAGGGTCTGGAGGTTTTACTTCCAGCAAAAACTTCAGGGACACTCCTTTCTCACTCCATAGCCAGCTGCGGAATCTTTCCAGGTAAATGCGCCGCTTGTCTCTGGTTTGTTCTCTGACTGCCCTTGTGGAAATGATTGCAGTGCCAGCCCTCTGCAAAACTCGGTCCCGGTCAGCTTTTGAACATGGCTCGATAGGAGCGCCAGATGCAGCATGAATGCAAAGAACCATGGCGATTACCCATGCCCGTGTTAGGCTAAACCTACGGCCGAACCTATTTTTGGGGGGCCTACGTGTTTTACTGTGTGCAACTTTACAAAGGACAAAGCCCAACACAGACACGCAGCAAACCAAAAGTCCCACGGCTGAAATCCAAGTGGGAATGAAGGCCGGACGAAGGCCAAAAGGGAAATCAAGGCCGAGTGCAAATTCCACAAGCCAGCCAAATCCATCACAGAGCCTAGGCATCCAGCTTGAGCATGAGAACGAAAGTCCATAGCCAAAGTCAACAGAGACAGAGAAGGTCCAAGACAGGCTAGGGGAGCAAAATCCATAGGCTTCGACGGAGCTCGGCAGGAGGATGACAAGAAGTACTAGACGCACCCAGTTGGCAGAGAAACGCCGGAGACCACGCGTGCCATCTCGCCTCAGAACATCCCAAGGGCAACCATGCTGAACCAGAGAGGCAGTCCAAGCAGATCTCACAGGCCTATCCCGGGTGGGGTCATCGGCAACATTGAGCCTGGTGGGAGAGTAACCCCAAGACGGATACAAATCACCACAGACACAGATGGCACCAGCTTTCCTCACAAGAGGTTGGAGAGCACGCGACGGGGAACGCCCTTTGGTTAAAGCTCCTCTCGCAACGGCAGAGTCAACCAAATGACAGAAGCGAACCGACGACCGACGCAAGGAAAGAGACACAAGGTTGGACACTGCAGCAGAGGTTTCCAGGACATTGATATGGCCTGGTTTCTTCCAAAACCACTCTCTCACCAAAGTCCACTTCGACGTGACCATAACGTCATTCGCAAGGACAGACTCATGACCGACGGTGTTTGGCTCCAGACACTGACTTGCAGACAGCAACCTCAGAGCTCGGCGGAAGGCCTCGGCAATGTGCAGCGCAACACCATCTGTGTAGGTTGCTGAAGGCTTGGTATAAGCTCCCTGAATACGGACATGAGCATGACCCCCACAGCACCTGACGTCCAGAAACTCCGTGTCCAACAGGTAACACAACAGCCGAAACTCCTTACGGTGAATGCTTTTGAACATGCAAGAGGCAATGACCGCTTCGGAAAATCCACAGCTGAGAAGGGTCTTCCAGAAGGAGAGCCAGCACATCTTGGACAGCCTACTCTGTTCAAGCCCACAAGGTCTACGGCAGCGTCTGCCAACCCTCAACAGGACAAGCGCTCGAAAAGCCAAGGTGTTCCCATGCAACGTTTTTGGGTTGGCCCTGTCAAAACCCAAGGGCTCCCGATAGGATCTCACAGCAGGGTGGGCTGCAGGGCTGAATGTTGTGCAGGGCGGCTCCACAAAGAAACTTCTGAACCTGTCCTCCTCAATCATGTAGATGGCCCATTCCAAAAGCCGCAAGGACGACAGGTCATAATGTCTGGACTCGGACAAATCCAATACCGGGGCACAGACAAAACCAAAGGACGCCATGGCAGAGGTGATCTTTCCAGCCCCCCCGCAGATCTCCACAAAGTCATAGTACATCAAAGGAGCTTTGAAAGGACCTTCAACCTCACAGGTTTCAGGGGGCAAGCTCTCTTCTCCATCAAACTCCCCAAGCCCACGCAAGAGCGCACGAAAAGGATTGTCCAAGGGCACATACCCAGGTTTTTGATCAGAGTCAAGCCAAAGAATCGTCTCAGTGGTCCTGGGAATGGGAGCCTGAATGATGGCGCCTTTGTCGGAGGAAGCATCCGTAGCAAACACCTCACCAAGGTAATCCACAGCTATGTTGGTCATGAGAAGGGGGGCTACTGCCGCAAGCATGCATATCTCCTGTGCGATCTTCCTGGTCAGTTGGTGGACCTGAGTAGGGGCTGCTTGGCACTGCGCACTGAAGACAAAAGCCTCATCAACCAAGGAAGACCAAAGCTTTCGGAACTGCAAGACCGAAACCCACTTCCCAAGGAGACGCGCAAAAAGACCAGCGGTGACGCCAGGGAGAACAGCAGTGCGCAGAGACAAAACAGACAGAGCCAAGCGCTTGCTGAAAGGGGCAGCTACAGGCACAAAACCACGGCGCACATTTGTCTCACCGGATCTAATCTCAGCTCCAGCAGCTTTCAAAGTCGAGGCCGAGCAGACATCCTTCTCAGGAGAGCCAAGGAGATTGCTGGCATCATAGCTGTCACGGGCCAAGTCCAGAGCCTTTCGTGCAAATCCATTGGCAGGGTCATTGGAAAGTCGTTCAGAGCTCAGGCAAAAATAGTCGTCAATCACAAGGGCCCGCGAGGAAACGGCTTGTTCCCTTGGATGCGTCGATCTTCATGCAGGAGCCCGGCATCTTGGAGAAGCTGCTCATGACTACGCAATGCGAACTCAACCCCAAGGTGGTCCCCTTGAAACAACGACTTGAAGCAAGGAAAGGCGAATTCAGGCAAGGCACACGAAGACCTGATCTTGGGTGGAAGTCCAAGCCTATCACCTATCACCTCGCGCCTACCCGATTTTCTGACTCCAAACTGATTGCGAAAATCCATCAAGGCAGAGCATCCCTGGAAGTCCAAAAGGGGAAAGGAGAAAGGGAGCATGTTGGTGCGTGCTCTTTCTGCAGTTACGGCAGCCTGATGGTAAAAATCCCTCCTATCAGTTATGGAGCCCCGAATGCCATGGGTGAACCGAGGCACATGCAAGTACACCAGGGAGCGGCCCTGGGGCAAAAACTTGGAGGGCCCATCAACATGAAACTCGGACAAGTTTGGGAGCCTCCTATCGCCAATCTGTCGGTCTCGTGTTTGGTCCTTATAGGCATTAAAAACTCGAGAGAAATACCCAGGCTTCAAGGGTTGAGCTTCCAGGTGCAAAAGGCCACGCACATCCCAAAGACGAGCAAGCTTCAAGCACTCCTCAGGTTTCTCAGCTGCAAAATTGGGTATCTCTCCGACTGGAACCTCAAGACCATGACACAGAAACGCAGGCTCTTGGAAGGGCAACCAAAGGGGGCCATTCAAAAAGGATTCCATAGGCCATTTCCCCTCGCCTACCAGCTTCAAACGACAGACATCGAGCGACCGATAGGGCAACAGCTCAGGGTGTTCACTCACAGACAACAAGCCAGGGTCTGGGGTGAAAGGACGACAAGGACCATGCAAGTAGCCGGAGGCCAGATCCGGACAGCCATCACAGAAACGCTCCAGCTGGAACAGGTTGGAACCAAGTTCAGGGCCGGTTCGACCAGGGCACAAAGAAACCAACTCCCGGGCGTCACCACACACAGCTATCATAGTCCGCAGTCTGTCAAACACGGCACATTGCTCAACAGACGGGGACCTCCTGAGCTCCTCAAGCGACGGCCATCTTCCAAGGAACATGAAATCCAAAACCAAAGTCCAGATATTCAGAAGACGCTTCTTGGCCAAAGTCCAAAGTCGCTTTTGGGAAAGTCCAGGGCCACTGCACCGAAAGCAATCCAAATGGGGTAGGGGCAGTGGAAAAACTGTGGAAGCCGTCTGGTTAGATCGGCTCAAGGCAGCAAAGGAACGGGCAAGGCAGTGAGAAAACGTTGTCCTCGACCTCAAAATCCAACGAGGCAAACAGATCGCCCATTGGCGAAAACTGATCTGAGCTTGCAAAGGATTGTCGGTCACATCTGCCTTGTTGTTGCTCTTGTCTCCAGGGCTCAGGCTTCGTCTGCCTCTGCTGGCTGATTTTGGCCTCCTCTTCCTCCTCCCTTGGCTTTCTTCTTCGCTGCAGGCTTTGCTTTGGGCTGGCCTGGACTTGCGTCCGTCAGAGAGCTGTTGCCGAATGTCCCTTGCCGGCTTTGACTTGTCAGCTCCAGACGCTTTGAAGTGATCACATCCAATTCTTTTATGTAAGCCAGAGCCACCGTCACCCATTTTTGATCCGCTAAAGGCGAGAAGGCCCGCGGCTTTGCCAGGATATTGCCCTGGCGACTTGTGAAGATAGTCGAGGGAGGCTCCTCCGGTAGGCAAAGCAATTGAGCCAGGTCGAACTTGCCAGAGTCCAATGCTGCTTGATCCAGGGTGACTGCCAAAAGGGCGGTCTGATCCCGGGCAGCCTGCCAATTCTGCGTCTGCAGACAATCCATGATGGACATGACTTGATACTGCAAGCATCCAAGCTCCCTCACCTTCCCGTAGCCACCAAACCGCTCCAGGTAGCGGGTTCCGCAGATACCTCTGTCCATCAGTTCCTGAGGGCTGCCCTCCGGTGACATTGTGGGGCACATCCGCCTTGACATGGCCGCCAAGACCGAAGTGAAAAAGCTTCCCTTCTGCGCCGCAAGCTCTGCTTGAAGCCGGGCTCGTCCTTGTGCTCCACGCGTCCCAGATGAGGCTCCAGTTGTGCTGAGCTCCAACATTGGGTCGCCGCTCTGTTCGGCGATCTGTGCCACCAAAGCCGTCAACGCCTGAGACTGTGCCAGCACTGCCTGAGCCAGCGGATCTGACGAGGAAGATTGGCCTCCCTCTCTCTTCTCGTCCTCCAATTCTTGCAGCTCGTTGGGGCGCACCAAGGGAGATCCCAACAGACCCGGTGCTGTAGGTGCAAGAGTCCTTGGGGGCGTACCAAGCTGCTGAGCTATTGTTCCCAAACTGGAGGTCTGTGGCATCAATGCCGAAGAGATAGGCTGGCGCAGAGTCACACTGGGGCCGGCCTCTGGGGCTGTTGGGGTGGCAACTCGCTTCTCCAACGCAATCTGGCGCTGTGTGAGGGACTCCAAGTTCTTGGTGAAGCCTTCGTTCATCATCAGCAGCTGTTCCATGGAGGATGCCAAAGTGGCAACTGTGGGCCGCTTTGCGCCTGACATAGGCCGCTCTGGCCCAGGCGCTGGAGCTTTTGCCCTGCGTCTTGCAGCCGGCCGAGGTATCACAGGCGGGTCGTCGGCCTGTTCCTCGATGTCCAAAACTGGCACTCCCTCTGCGGCCTCCTCCACTGACAAATAGGCCCGATGCGAAGTCTCCCCGCTGGCCTCCGCCCACTCCCGAGCAGAGGTTATAAGCAGCTGAGGATGAGGCACAGCAAACGGCTGATCTGCATCGAAGGAGAAGGGGTAGGCCTCGCCGGCATCCACTGGCCGCAGTTGCGCCACCACGCTCTCGTTCAGATCGACTACAACGACCGACATGAGAGACCCGGTGGGCGCCAAAACTCCATTCTCCAACACCATCCCAGGAAGCCGCAAAACTGTTGAAGGCCCTACCACACCAGGAGGAGGATCCATGTTGCCATTGGCCAAAACCTCTTCGGGCATGAAACCAACCGGAACCGCAGCTAGGAACCCTCCAGGCCTTTTCAGCACCACAAGGACGGCCGCTTCGGGCTCGCCGTCGTCTGCCGGAACTTGAGGCCAATCCATGATGTAGGGGACCACATCGTGCTCTAGCGAAACCAAATCCGCCAGTGCCAAGCTGTATGCAGTTTCCATTTTTTAGACTAAGGGGCAAAGACCACGTCAGTGATTCCCGCTGCTTGCAGGTAGATCTTGGCCTCAACCTCACTTGGGAAACTCTGTGAAATGGACTCAGAGTTGGACAGGGAGCCAATGCAGCCCCAGTACCCAGCCGAACTCTTAGAACCTGTTCCTGAGATCGATAGGTGGTGTCCTATCTGGGCTGCCGATTCTGGAGTCACGCACTGCTGCAGCCCACTGGCCACAAATCCAGGCCCTGTGAACTCGATCTCTTCCAGACAGGGAGGACCCACAAAGTCTGCTGGACAAGACAAACAGCGACGAAGGGCAAGGCAAGAGTGACCGGCGCACTTGGTCTCGGGTCTCAAGTCCAAGGGGACGAGAAGGAGCAGCAGCAGGAGAATCAGGGACACTGGAAACCAGCTCAAACTCCGACGGGGCAGACAGGTCAGGCTCAAAAGCAGCGACGTGTTGAAGAAGTGATGCAGCAAGTCCAGAGGACGAAGAAGGGCCAGTGATGGAGACACGAAGTCCACAAGGAAGGGTAAGGGACAGGTCAACGGTGGCGCTCTCGGTGGATGGAGCCCTGCTCATGCAAGTAAGAAGACAACACCCGGGCACGAGATGGAAGAATAGGTGGGCCAGACAAATCCACAGGAGGAGTCCAAGGCACAACACCGACACAAATCAACCACCAGAAACCAAGACCACAAGTGACCAAACCACAAATCCAACCAAGAAGAAAGAAAAGGACCAAGAGACCGAAACTAGGTTGCACACAGTAAAATGGACACCCTAGTCCCCACAAATTAGTCGAAAGTCCCTCGAAAACTAATCCTAGAAGGGCCCTAGGAGACATGAGGCTTGAGCCCCGGCATCATTCAATTGGCAACCTGTCATCAACTAGTTTGTATGTATGTATGCATGCATGCATGCATGCATGCATGGATGTAGGTAGGTAGGTAGGTAGGTATGTATATATATATATACATATCCCTACTATGGGTAGTTGGTTTTATACGTATATAATCCAACTTTAGATAACTTGCTATATATATAATTTTATATCACTCATTGGTTATAGATTCCATTATATCCGCACTATATCACCATTGTGTTTCATTGTAGTTTCTGTTATTATGAACATTAGTGTTATTATTATTGGTTTTATCATTAGTATTATCATGATTAATTATCATCATCACTGGTATTATATCGTATACATATACATACATTATATATACATACACTATCATACATATATCATGGTGATGTGATGTAAATATACTATGATATTATGTATTATATTAATGATACTTCATACTGATATTGTCTGATATTATACACTACTGTATCATATATCATATCCCATCATTTACTGGTTGGTGGTTGACCCACCCCTGTGAAAAATATGAAAGAGTGAGTAACAGTTGGAATGATTATCCAAAAAATATTGGCATTACTGACCATTACTAACCATTACTATCCATCGTTAAATATGCTATCTATCGACACCATCTCCAAGCATGGTCCGCCTCCACGGCCAAATGGCAAAAGCCTCGGCGATCGTTGTCCAAAAAAAAAGGGTGCCCTCTGGGTATAAAAAACATGGAAAATGGCCCATGAAAATAGATGGTTTACCTGGTTTACCTTTTAAGAATGGGGGATTTTCTATAGCTACGTTAAATAACCAGAGGTTAGTTATACAGTTATAGGCTATGGTGTTCAATTGGCAGGATTCTGGATGTTAACAAAATCCCATCGGAGTCGCCATTTGAAGATGGCGAAAAATTGGTTCCTATCACCTTGAAGGTGGCGCCCAAGTTATCTTTGTTGGTCAAGCCCCATGAAAACATCCATTCACTATAGATACACCTACCATGAGGCATAGTGAATCTACATAGTTATAAACCAACTTAGCTATATAACTTAGCTATTTTTCGGGGGATTATCTGGGGGTCCAGATTTTTAGAATATATCTAGCAGTCAAGACCTATAAGACATGATGATACCATATGTTTGGATGAACATACACAACTGCTACTAATCGAACAAGGCTTGTGATCATTGTGATCCATCCCAATATATCGGATATCTCGATCTCTTGGAAAATGGTGATGGTAGTCACCAAATGGGATCGATGTGTCCCTCTGAGGCCCCATGCGGTCTAACGGATGGCCATCCTGGTGGACGATCAAATCTTCCAGATTCCACACGGCCTGTGGTGTTCAAACAGGGGAGTGTCCTGTAGCCCCCCTCAACAAATACATAGGAGTACTATAAGTACTTGATTGCATCAGCCAGTCACAAATGGCTGGTACAATGTCTGCTTTTTGAAATCAACAGAGCACACTGCAGACAGAACGCTCTCGTGGGATCTGTGCCATGCCTCAAGCAACAGATCGTGGTCATGGTCTTTCTTCACATCCAACTCCGAACAGTCCTGCGCCAGACAAATCCCGCAGCAAGATACCACTAACCACAATGAATACCCTCTGGTAAACTAACATACAAGTAGCTATTGAAAATGACCATTTATAGTGAGTTTTCCCATGAAAAATGGTGATTTTCCATAGTTTTTTGTATGTTTACCAGAGGGTACCACTCCCAGAATCCATGGGCTGACCCCAACAAAAAGCGCTGCCCAGTCCAGCTGACCAACTAAAACCTGGATCCCTCCCAGGCTGGCCAAGTGCTCATGGCACTCTTCAGACTCCACACCTGAGATGTGACTTTCGTGCACAAAAATTGGAGATTTGACACGGGAAAACGGTGATTTCAATAGGGAAAATGGTGATTTGAATAGGGGAAGATTGGATTTGTACCAAAAATATGTTATGAAACCATGGAAATTGGGAATTTCACCAAGAGACTTGGGATTTGAGCATGCATCGTTTCGCTATGGCTCAGGCTCTCAGTGATGTCACAGTGTCCAGGTTTTCATCTTCCTGGGGGCACCTCTACTCTTCGATGAATTCTATTTCAATCGTGCATCCCATCTTTGGAGACCACAGCAGTGTGAAACAAACCGACACTGTCCTGTTATACTGATTGGTTAGTAGGGATTGAAAAATTCAGAGTGGATTGTGATCTGCTCCAATATCGGATATCGGGTAGTATAGCCCCTAAATTACATATGATCATCAATCAACAGAGGTTTAGCAGCTACAGAGCCATGTCGCTTTTTCTTCCACCAGCGGCGCCAAAGACGGCACACCTAAACTACGAACGGGGTTGCCTCGAAATCGAAGACTCGGGTGGTTCCTATTACATGGCTACAAGTCTACCAGGAAAATACCCAACCAACAGATTTGCCATTCAAAAATCTTCAGCCTCAAACCATTCCAACCACCTTGGAGTACCCAAAGATCTGCACGACTGAGTCCAGGTGTTCGAGGCATTGCCCGTTTTCTTGATCAGCAGTTGCATCTAGTTTAAGCACGCCCAAGATGCTGGACCAACCATCTGACAAGGCTTTCCTGTGGAGACCCAACATGCATAAAGGATGAAACACGTGAGCCATGCCCAGTTACAAACCTGTCAAGGGTCAAAGGCGTTACCCCTGCAAAGGTTCCAAGGTGCTCATAGCAATCCCAAGTAAGCCTGCTGGTATTCCCCATCTACAGTACTCATGCAACCACGGGGTACTCACTGGGCATTGCTGAGGTGCACATCCTGCCTGAACAAGGCTTGATTGCAGGATACAACAAGAGATGCTCACATGGTTCCTTGAATGGCAAACACCAACAAGAGATGCCGAGAACCTACCAACAGGCACTTCAAAGGCCACGAATTTTGGGTTTCACAGGTAGCAGTCAGGCCACATAAAGATCCTAAATCTACCTCAGGCTAAATCGATAATTTGTCACCATGCAGGGAGGAATTCACCGTGCATTGCTGCGCTTTCTGCGCTTTCGAAATCTGCGCCAGAGCCGAGACCTCCCTGGCGCGATGACGCCCCACGGCGCGGTGAAGGACCGACATGAGATGTTGGTTCACCTCGATGTGTCCTGCACGGATCACGCGAAGAAAGGTCTCTTCTGCCCTCTTGGGCTGCTTCGGAGAAGCCAGCACGTAAGCCAAAAGCAGTGCGTAGAGGAAGAAGTCATTGATGAGCAATCCTGATCAAGGTGATGTATATATATTTACTTATTTATGTGTACATTAGGTGGATACATATATATATGTATTACATACATACATATATACATATATACACATATATACATATATATATATATATACACCTTATTATTATAAACTTACCACTATTTTGATTATTCTTATTATCATTCTATGTCTATTATACATATACATATATTGAATTCTATATGCCGTATTCCAGATTTGCCTTGAAAAAGTGTTGATTAGCCCAACAACTGGGATGTTTGTGGGAATCACAGGGTAAAAAGAAGGTTGCTGATTTGCTGATCCTCATGATGGGACCAAACATCCTATGACTCCGGTTCTGGCTTGAAGGCTCTCACAAGCCATCCCAGCTGTACCATTTAAATCTACAGTAATTGTTGTGATGTTCGCACAACTTTTTCCCAGTGGTTCAAGTGATGGATCCTCCAAAAACTTGGATTTGCAAAAAAGGGTTCCCAAAATTCATAAACCATCTTCCCAACAAATCGATTCCCCATTGTTCATGGGATTTCCTGGGAAAATGACCCCAAATTACCCAAATCACCTTTGTTGGAAAAGAACTTCGCTCCTGCGGCTTCCATGGAATAGCTCAACTTCTCTGCCTCTTGCCACTTGCCACAGTTCGCATAGGCCCTGGCCTGGCAAGGACTTAACAATAAAGGCCCCTATTTCGGAGGGACTGTGATGATAAACCATGGGATTTGGGGTGTACAGCCTATGTTCAGCAATATGTACACATGTATGTACGTATATATATATATACATAATTATACATATAGGTATCAGTTTATATATTATACATATTATATTATATATGACATATCATAACATACTACAAAATTGTCTGACAAACTCCGCTAACAAAGCTCGATAAAAGTCTCACCGCCTGATCTTGGTGCGGCTAAGGGACGAGAGAAGTGTATGTGAAAATATTTGGCTGAATCCCACGCTGTTGCATCAAAAGAAACCTCACCAGCCAAGCCATTTCTGGTGTGAAGTGGGGATGGCCTTTTTTCGGTCAGACCCTAGGTCGGAATCCGTGCAGCGCAAGCATGGAATTTTCTGTACACTAAACATTAACCATACATTCACCGTTACCCCATCTGCTTAAAAGGTGCAAAGATTTCGGTGAAATCAAAACTTCATGGCAGCAGCACCTGAGGACCTGGATCCCCGGAATTCCCTAGGTTAAACTCCAACGACTTCACCATGGCACACGTGCTCAGCGCACTTGATCTCCCTTGCTTTGGCACAAGCTGCCAACAACGAAGAGAAGGTCACCGCCTGAGATGTTGCATGGCTAATTTTAAGCATCTCATGAAATGTCAAAATACCACTGGAGATTGATGTCCACGAATTCTGACTCCTATCATTCACAGCATCCGCAGCAGTAATCAGCAATCACAAACTCCTTTGCCACCAACCATCATGTCCAAATATCATAGAAAACCCATCAAAATCATCGAAAACCTTGCGTTTTTTCGTTGTTTTTCCCCAGTTTATTTTCTCTCCAAGGCACGTCTCCCAGGAGACCGAAATGAGTCATGGACTGCAAGACCTGTAAAGCTTCCTGGAGAGCTAGTGGACATAGGGATGGCAATAGATGGGAATGTTACCCCAGGATAAACGTACGGAAAGATGAGGAAAACCCACGGTGAAACCCAAGGAAAATAGTCTACAAATAGTTGATATTCCACATCTATGTTGGTTTACCCTAGGGTAAATGTTCATGGGTTCTATTGGGGGACTTGCCCTATCCCATTCTTTGCAACTGCGTGGCCAGCTCATGAAATCATCTGAAATCCCACCAGAGTGCCTTGAAATAGCCACAGTTTGCCAGGGCTGTGATGAGTGCGGTAAATGTATGCTCATTCCTCAGGGCGCATCTCACCAGGGAGGTCCAGACCACCTATGGGTGAGCATTGAAGTTGCCTCCTACATGGCAGAATGCCATTCAGCAAATTCGGCAAGTTGATGTGAATCTCGAAAAAAATGTGGGGCGTCCTAAAATGGAGCTACCCCAAGTTCGCTGGATGGTTTATACATGTTGATACTGGAAAATCCCAATTTCTAAATTGTGGATGATTCGGGTTGGTACCCCCAGTCCACTTAGGAAACCTCCAAATGGGCTGTGTGTAAACCATCCCCGCTACGACAGGTCCAGGGCCCCCAGGGCCGAGCCAAGTTGCGGTGCCACACCCCGCGCTACCATGCGCTCATGCCACCTGAGATGTGACCACATGTGCTCCTGGTTTCGGTCTTGGGGAGCCTACTTTGGGGTGCAGTTTCCAGTTAGAAGTGGTTGTTTGTGTGGCTTATATATATATATCCCCATAATGATGGAGGTGATTTCAATTTATGGAGATTATCACCATGGCTATATCAATTAGTAATTTCAACTGAACCCCCAAAGATGGTCACAGTGTGCAATCCTACATTCGTCGATAGTTAAATAGAGCATTGATTGTACTATGCATAAGTTGCTTGCTATGTTGATCATCCATCTTTGGGTCTATTGTTCAAGGCCCTTCGGAAGTTCACTGGGAAGAAAGAAAAGCAAAGAAATGCAATTATCGTCATGATTATTATCATTATCATGTATTATCTGTATTTTTCCTAGTTCTGGTTCTCACGATGAATACTGTAATCTCACCATTGGGCGTCAGAAAATGGGGCATACCCCCAAGATGACAATTTTAGGACAGCAAAATGGTGATAAATTATCAACTTTGTTGTACCCAATCTTTAGGCAAACCCACTACCCTCTGGTAATCAACCTTTGCTTGCTGGAAAAAATCTAAATCGGTAGATGATATTCCATTTACAGCAGATTTCCCAGCCAGCCATGCTTGATTCCCAAAGGGTAAATCCTCAATTTCCGCCAATATCCCAATGTCAATATCCCCGTAGTTGGTTAAATACCCCTTCCAAGTTCATGACCAATGGCTAAATCTCATGAACACATCCCCATTCAGTTGGTTAATATCCATTTTCTTCAACACCATCAGTTTCAGCCCCCATTCATATTCCATATATATAATATTATATATATATATGTATATATGTATATATGTATATATGTATATATGTATATATGTATATATGTATCTACATTCCCGTTACAGTTCGTTAATGTTGGTTAAATCCCCTCCAAAATCCAGATGACTTTCCATTCTTCACCATGAATTTTCACATTATATCAATCCACTATCCCAAGTATTCATAGTCATTTCCCATGCTTCATATGGTTCAATACCCCCATCAACTAGTGCTTCATATCTCCATAGTCCAAGAGGCTCCCTTGCCTTGAGCGCTTGAGGAAACTTCGCGCACGCATCCAAGCTGAGGATCGGGGAATCTTTTGGGATGGATTCATTGAAAATTTCTTTGGGAGCATCTATAGTCATTGTTTTCACAGTATGTACCCTCTGGTAAACTAACGTAGCTATTGAAAGATCCACCATTTTTAATGGGAAAATCCACTATAACTGGCCATTTTCAATAGCTATGTTAAATTACCAGAGGGTATTCATTCATAATATGGAGATATGCATTTCATGATGAGGAAATACACTCCATCTATATTAAACCATGATTTTGAGCATATGTTTATTGAGTTTGTTGGCAGAATCTGTAGCAAACTATGATTGTTTACATATGATTACCCCCAAATATGGCTGTGGACCAACACCCGGATACCCTGAACATGGAAACAGCTGGTAGTTATTCTGGGGAGTCATCCCCACAAAATAAATGTATTTCATAGCTCGTGATTCATTTTTAGGGGTTTCAGCTCCGGACAGTGCATTGAAATTTTGGATCTTGAGCCATTAAAAAAATGGGTCAATACTTGTCTACCATCTCCGAACCCCTTGGACACTTGACTTTGCAATCAGCGGGCATGTGCGGAGTCTATAGATATGCATCCTATACATGCAGGTACACATGCATGTGTATACTATATACATTTACAATCATTTACACATACACGCACACATACATGTACATGATTGTACATGTATTTATGTATTTATGTATTTATCAAAGATGTCGCAGAAGCCCACGAAGAATCTTCCCACAAATGTGATTCAAGACACATCGCACCGTAGCTCACCACAGTCGCCTCGCCGCCTGCAATTTACCCGGAAAAGATGGCCAAATTCTTACCCAGTTGACTCATCATTGCTACCTAATTATGATCACAAAATCTCAAAGCCGAAAGCAGATCCCAAAATATTTGAGATTTAACATGATTTAACGGAATCTCAATGGAAACTATCCCATTCTTGCCATTCTCTGACGCTGTGGTTTCTCACCAAATACCATGGCACCAGCGCCGGCGCCGCCGGCGCCCTTGTGCCTTCATCGATGGGTCGCATCCATGTCTCGGCCTTCTCTAGATCCCCTAACTTGGCATAAGCATCCACCAGCACAGTGTAGCCCTGCGGCTGCTCAGATCTAACGTTTCTATGATCCAGTGCCAAAAAATAGATGGGGAAGATGGGGGAAATTGTGATTTAGCTCACTTAGCTCACTTAAGACTAGATTTTGAATGGATAGTTTGGTGTTTTTTATCCCAATGATGGATGATGGTGAAAAAGCCCCACATTTCCGATTATCATCACATGTTTGTTTGCATATAAGCACTATTATCATGCCTCTCATCCCACCCTTTTTCAGGCCCCGAAACAAGAACTACCCTCTGGTAAACTAACATAGCTATAGAAAATTGCCATTTATAGTGGATTTACCCATTGAAAATGGTGGATCTTTCCATAGTTTTTTGTATGTTTACCAGAGGGTAAGTGTAAAACCCACATGTTTTTGCTGCGGAGGGAACCACCTCACCAGCTCCCTTCTGGCTGAGTCCCGGCCTGCAGTCGGGTGCTTGGGAACTGACGCACCATCTCCTGGTCGATCTTTGTGACCAGTCCGAAAAAAAAAAACAGGATGTTCCAGGGTTTTTAGTGGTGATATACCCCACATCACCGTTTTTTCATTGAAACTGATGATCTTCCTGGCGGGGTTTACGTAACGGTTACATCAGGTTACGGCCCTATCTTTTCCAAACCCCTTAGGGACCACCGCCATCCTGCCATCCTGCCGTCTCCTGCACGGTCCACTCTGCCTCAGTCATCCGATTCTTCTTGCACAAAGCCATGAGGATTGCCAGGAAGCACCCTTGGTTGGGCGTGCCACCGGATCTTCTCAATGCTTCCATCCACCTGCAAGGCTGAAAAGCTATTCTTAAAATAGCGAAGGGGGTCCAAAATTCTTGAGTCAACCATAGCATGCCTCTTTGCCCCAAAGATCCATGGCCGTTTTGGGAGGGAAAATGATGATCAACATTAACCAACGGGATTTGGGGAATATAAAAAAAAAAAACTATCTTCAGACACAGCCATTCAAGGGGAGGGTTGGGATCATGATCCATGTAGTCATGGATGTTCATGCCCCCAAAATATGGCAGGCGGGGTGCCAAGATAGCTAAGGTTGCTTATTTGCCTATCATAACTATGGTGATGGCAGATACATCATGATACATCGAAGAAGTTCATGGGCTGAATAAACCAGCATCACTGGGAGGGCCCCAAAGCCAGATGATCCCCTATGAAATGCCAATATTGGCATGATACCCAGCATGTTGGAGGATTCAATCCCTCTTTTGATCCAGCGGCCAGCTTTGCTGCCCGGCCTTTGTGCCAGACTGAGTTCACCAGCACGTGCCCACCCTGCATCCATGGAAATCGCTTGGACCAAATCCTCTGTGGAGCAATGCTTATCTCCCACGAGAAAAGACAGAAGTTGTCCATGTTTCAAGGAAAGTAGGGATGGAAAACGTGGCTTGTGTCTGAAAACATGCTATTCCACCCAGTTTCATGGTTTATCATCATTTCCTCAAGGTAAACCTGTCCATTCGTCCCATATTGGGAATCCTTTTCTCCAAGCATAATGGGGAAAAATGTAGATAAACCATGCAAAATCGGAAGTGTTTCCCAGTTGGCTTCCAGGCTCAAATCTCAGGACCTCCCAACCTGACGCCCAACCCGGTGATACGGTGATACCTAACCAAATCTATAAAAACCCACCAGTTGTATCCAATTTCTAGATGATTTTCCTTGGAAAACCATGGGAAACCTGGGGTTTTTCCATAACTGCCTGTGAATTGACTGGTACCATCAGCACCCCCCTGCACCTTGGATGAGCATTGCATAGCTGGCCTGGTTCGGAGTAACGTTCACCTGAGGTCGCACGGTTGTCAACCACGAACAGGTGGCTTCTAATGCTTCTATAAGTATGCCAGGGTTGACTAGGGGATTTGGGGGGGTATCCATGAATTTAATCGACCAGTGTTCAGCGAAATCCGGGACAAATCCCTGAACCGAAAAAAGTTATGAGGTGTTACGTGTACAAAGAGTTCATTGCAAGTCTTTGATCTTTCGGGGTCGCCTTTGTCCGGGAGTGGGGGAACCAATTGAATTTTCTTGGAAGGTTGCACCGAACTCCCGCACTCCACGGAAGCTGCCTGTCGCATCTTCTGAAACCACTGCTCCGCTGCGGCGCAACCCGAGGATTTCAAGCAAGCATTCAAAACCGCATTGAAGCTTTGCCTCGGCCGAGCTCTCCGCATGGCTGGCGGATTAATATAAAATAAGAGGCAGGCATTAATATGTTGGTAGGAACAAAATAAAATCATGTCAAGAATGGTCCGATCAGTCCCCATCATACGGAGGAAGTGGATAGGTTGCCCCAAGCATCACTGGAACCATCTCCCACAGTCACCTCCCATGATTTCCTGTCCTACATCTATCTACCATCGATCCGTCCATATATATACCATTGACATTCGAACGCGTTCGAAAAAAAAAAAAACTACAAAAATCCTATCTGTACTTGAATTGAAATATATATATATGATGGAATCTCCCCTTGCCATGCAGGTTAGGTATTGCCTTGTTAATAAAAAACCGGTGTATCCCAGCCCGCCAAGTCACACGTTTTTTTCAGGCGCCAGTTCAAAAAGGCGCAACGCCTCGCGGAGGTTGCCATCCTTCGCAGCTTGCTGCAGCGCAGCGTGCTGCAGCTGTTTTTGTCCTCAGCACATGGCCCGGGCGTTGCCAGGTCCAACCCCCGCAGGGTTGGTTTGTTGGTTCGGGGGGGTCATGGATGTTTATGGTGGATATATCTGCAGTTGTTTAACAGACTTACTAAAAAAAGTGGTCCTCTTTGCGCCCAGACATGCCCAGACAAAATGACGGGATTCTGTGGGAGGTCGGCCAGCATATCTAATGAGTTGTACCACCTGAACATGTGATGTTTTTAGCAACAAAGACCCCAAAGTTCGCCAGCTGAATAGGGGAGTTGAACCCTAAAAATTGGATGGTTGAGTACCAAAGATGAAACGTGACTCATTCTGTCGGATTTTTCAGCCCCTGTTTTTTGCTTGCGGATTATAAGTTTGGTGGCAATGAATTTGGGGAAATTTCGTGAGGGAAAGTGAGTCCGATAAATCAGTTGAGAAAGGAGTTTAGAAATGAGATGGCGTGGGGGAAATTGTGGATGATCTTCAGCAAAAGTTGGGAAGATGAGAAAAATTGAGCAATTCCCGTCACTTCCTATGAATCAGTTCTGTTGGGAATGATGCGTTCCTATCAGAAAAATCATATTTGGTGCCCCACTTTTCACAACTCAGGCATTGAAACGTGAGTGGAAGGCCGGATGGAACACCTACCCTGCGCTGGGATGGCCTGTCTTTGCCCAGGATGTTCAAGTCCATGGCCTGTTCCCCAACTCCAACACCTTTCCAATGCTTCCCCTGCAGCCCCCCCATTCCAATCTGTACAGTTTCCATCAATTTCCTGTGACAAGAGTCGGACACTCACTGGCAATGGAGACCTTTTCAGAACCTTTTCGGAATCATTGGAACTATCGCTTCCCGAAGGCGTGGCCGTGGCCGAATCTCCTGACATCGCGCACAAGGCATCTCTGTTGAACTTCAGCGCATGTCACCTTCTTCCATCTCGATTTGTTTTATCAAACTGGTGATAAAGACACATCAAAATCGTGTATATCAACATACAGTATATCACTGGCCTAAAAGGCATCAAAAGATATCAAACGTCTATAGATCTCAACCCTAGAAACACATCCAGGTCATCAAAAATCTATATATATATATATGTATAATACATACATATACATATATACATATGTAATTATACATACATATATATATATGTGATTATACATATATAATGTATATGTAATTATACATATATATACTATATGTCTATATATGAAATTATATATATATATTCATATGTAAGTACATATATATATACACATATACATACAGATACATATTATCAATATATCAACCCAACAAAAAACATCCATCAAACCATCTGTTCCCCAGGTCTCATCCCCTTAGGCCCTTGGTCCGTCCTGCATCGGTGGATCCCTCCTCCACCGAGATTTTCGGAGTTTGCCACGGCACCGACGTGGAGGCCGGGGCCGGGGCCGCACGCGCCGCACGCGTCGCAGGCGCCGCACTTGCCATGGGAACCACTGGAACCTGCTGGGTTTCGGCCCAGCAGAAGTGGAGGAAATGACGAGACCCTCCGGTGTTCCGTGGCTGGGAAAATTTCTAGAAATGGAAGTCTGGTAAAGAGAAATCATCAATAATAAATGATGTATTTTCCATAGACAGGTTTTGATTACTGTTGCGGGAAAAACAAACCCCACGAGCGAAGGGAGTGTTTAGCTGCAATCTGTTGTTGGAAGAAAGACGGATAGATAATATATGATAATATATGATAATATATGATAATATATGATAATATATGATAATATATGATAATATATGATAATATATGATAATATGTATCTTTAAGGTGGGAGGATCGGACTTTTTGTGAAGGTTTGGAACAGGGATCTGAACCATACAACTGTTCATGGCGAAAAAAGCAGCGCCAAGAGCTGGAAGTCTAAGACTGAGGCTACAATGGACTAGACGAATAATACGAATACACATCTTGGATATAGCAGGACTAGGTCAAGAGATGTCAAGAGTATTCAAAACTCATCCGGAACACAAAAATAGCTGACTAGCAGTGACTAGCAATATCCCACTATCTCCAATTACATCCCATTAAATCCCATTGCACTCACCATTTTGCAGCAGCAGCCCACCATGTTCCCGTAAGTCATCCATCAGACGTGCCATCCACCCTGGCTGCCATGAAACAGGAAGGCTCTGGTGGATAAGGTCGCAAAACCAGTTGTGGCCAATACATTTGGAGCCCAGCAGCATGCACAAGACTGCCTGGGTGGTGCCGCTAATGGACATGGTGGGCCATGGAAGGATCTTGCCTCTGTCAAAAATGGACAGAAAAAAGCAGAGAAATTGCAAGAAATGGGAAGCTGGCTGATGAATTAAGATACTTTATCAGCAAGATGCAGCCAAAAATAAACCTTCAATCCTTGAAGATTGCTTGTGATGATAGCAGGGAGAAGTGACAACCCCTGAGTTTGTTCCACACAACCAATTTCTTACACAGAACGTGGAGACGAGTTGGTCATCAGTTGGCAGAGGTCCATTCGGAAGAAGATCGTCATCTTGACCTATCACCTGCACTGCAAAGGGTCTTATTTCCGAATGATGGGACCAGTTGCGGAACTCAGTACCACCAGGATGAGTACTTCTTGAAAGGCACCATTGCAAGAGATTAGCTGAAATTCCCTCGAGGCAACCCCTGGCCCCTGGTACCCTAAGGGTTTCACCCAGCTGCCAGCAGCGTCTCAACCAGACAATCGCAGGTCATTTCAAGGATGCACACCGCAATGAGGATGCCCAAAACCAACGCGAGGTTGATTACGGTGCCAGATCCACTCGGCTTGTTTCTAGCAAGCAAGGCAAAGAACTGCGTGGCTGGTTTCATCATTTTTCCCGCCTGGGAGCTTCAATGAAGACATGTGGATGGACCAAGTGATGTAGGAGGTTCCTTACATCAAATCTAATCTCCTCGTCGTCATCATCATCACCACCATCACCATATGGACCATGATCATCACCACCACCAGCATCATCTATGTGAACATGATCCGTTTCCCAGATCTGCTTTGGTTCAGGAGTTCCAACCCGATCTTGTATAATCTCAAAGTTTGACCCTATAGATATTATAAATCCACGGGTTAATCCCATGAAATCAGTGTCATAAATCCACTGCTGCCACCGTTTTTTAAATCCACTGGTGATTCCCAAGTGTCAATTTGGGATGTTCAAACAACCCCTATCTGTGATCACATCCCCACCTCTGAAGCGTCCGCAGACGGCTCGCCAGGTTTCGTGGGCCAGCTGGAGCCAAAGGATGCAGATCAACCAAAAACCCTGGGGATGTGCCGTGCGTTGAGAGAATTTTCCGAAGGGAAGCCAAGTAGATCGGATGTTTTGGCCAGGTTGCATAGCCAACATCTGCTTGTCAGGAATTGAGCCTCTTTGGGGGATGTTCCACATGATCTCAGTGCACAGCTGCGTGTCCAAAAAAGCGCCATGCAGTGAACTCGACCCACGCTGAGCTTCCTCACACATATTTCGAAGACAGGAGGCAGCTGCACCTGGCACCGTCAAAGACGGGGACCTACCCCTCCGGTGTCATCAAACGTCGCTGTGAAATCCCCTCCCTGAATGGAGGTTGAAAGTTCGCTGTGAACATCATGGAACGAAATGGTGGACTTCCCAGCCACGTTTCTGTTGATGCGCCCCTGGAGAATCAGACATGGAAAACTATTGCAAAACCCCCCTCCCAAAAAAACATAGACGAGTCACGGGCAAGGGTCCATTCTCTTCCCAAATGTGTTCCATCAATTTCAAACAAACATGGGAATGGTTCAACCCTATCAATAGCAGATTTGCAGGATGGACATCCAGAACTAGCCACCCCTTTGGGTGTTCCAACTGCCAGCGCCAACCATCTCCCTGCCTCTCAAGCCAGCCACTGGGTGCTTCGGTAACTGGATCAGTGCAGGTAAGGCCTTGCCCGGCAGCTGTGAAACCAGCCCAGTGACTGAAAGTGGGCTGTACATATTCATCCCGGGCCCCTGGAGCACATTGAACGCCCCCCAGAAGTCATGGTTTAGTGGGGAATTTACTCATAGTTGGGACCATGCAATGGGGGGGTTTTACTGTATATCAGGGAGATGGGATTAAATTATTGCCATGTACGGTTTTCTAGGGAAAGCTTTGGATTTTGGGGCAAACTTTTAAGTGGATGAGTACTTGGCAAGCCAAGCTCCTCCAAATGTAATGCTGGATGTGTTCTATCTCTCACTTTCCAGTTTTGAGGATCAATCCGTTGTACACCTGTTGGCTTCCAAATTGCCATGAAATAGGCCAGTCTTTTTTGCCCAGTCATGAAACCTGGCTCCCGGCCGGAGCAATCTCCCAGGGCACCCGGCCCCTGCTTCAAACGCTGAGGTGGCGTTGGGGCCTCATTAACTTGGCATAGTTGGGTCACTGGTCACTTCAATGATGGGTGACCCCTTCACAGATCAACCAAAAAAAAAGTGCAAAATAGTGCGAACGGTACATCTCTAGAGCCAAATCTTGATCTTTTTTTGGCTATCGATGCCTTCAAACTCAGTAAAAATCTGCAGGGATCATAAAGATCCTCCCCCAAGTCGCGACACTGGAAATTCGACCCAATCCTTGACCCAATGAGCTGCCACACCACTTTCCTCAGTCAAGTATTTCAACGCCTCAGCTTTCGTCGCCAGGTCGGAAGCTGCAAAACAGCATGCCGAATGCTACAGAGACGCTGCTTCAAACAAAAGGAAAGAAAAATTCAACGCATTGGTGGTTTACAGGAAAATCTACAGGAAACCATCGCTTTTTACCAGTAATAATAGGAGGTTCCAGTGAATTTTCCATAATTTTCCCATCCAATTTACAGTGACAACCCACGGCTCCATAACACTTTGTTGTACCAGTACTCAGTAATCAAACCTGGCACGCTGCAACATCCCCCAGTTTGATGGTTCCCAGCGAACTAAATCCCAAAATCTCCAGGCCACGGGGTTTTCCCAGCCACGTTTGATGACACCGGCGGGTATCCTCTTACCATCTGACCAGCTTCGGAACTCTCATCCAATGGACAACAACTCTGACATTCGGCACTTGAACCTCCAAAGTTCCACCCTTGACGCAGCTTCGGTACTGGGCATTTCTCCTTTGACCGTGGATGTTCCAAACTTTCCAAGGAATTGACAATGGCTTGCTCCCAAAAAACAACCCTTGGCTGTGGCTTTCTGGCTTCCAAGACCTTGGAGCGTCATGTTTAGCGATTCGCACATCCCTTTCAAGGGGTTGCCCCAACATCCTTCAACTCCAAGAACTACCTGCAGTCAAGAGGCAACAACTGCAGCTTGCATGGCATCAGCCTCCTTGATTCCCAACACGTCGAAAGTCAGTTTTTGATGAGACTGTCAACATTTTGAAAGCATGTCATATCTCCATTATATATATCATATATATATATCATATATATATATATCATATATATATATTATATATATATATTATATATATTGATATATATCATATATATATATTATATATATATTATATATTCTATTATATATATATATATGTATTATATATATGTATGTATTATATATATATATCATATATTATATATACATATATTATATTATATATATATATTATATATATTATATATATATGTATATATCATATTATATATATATATTATATATATATGTATATATCATATATATATATATCATATTATATATATACATATATGTATATCATATATCCAAATATACGCGTGTTGTGCCACCATGTTTGATGCTTTAGTCACTTAAGTCACCATGCTACAGAGGTCTCGCTCTCCAAGGCCCCGGTCCTGGGACAGTAGTAGCCGAACCAACGGTGGAATGGCACCTGACTGAGACCAAAATGGAAGTAAGATCCACGGGATACCCTCTGGTAGACTCACATAACTATGGAAAATCACCATGTTTAATGGGTAAATCCACTATTTCTATGGCCATTTTCAATGGCTATCTTAGTTTACCAGAGGGTCATTCCCATGCTTCTAAGATCCATGTTTCACCTCAAAATGGAACGATCCAAAGGAAAGTGTCTTCCCATCCATCGTTCGGATCAGACAAGAGATGGAACTCAGCTGCTAAGCACGGCACCTGCCCGGCCGATGTCTTCCCTCACGCTGGAATCATCCTGTGATTTGGGGATGGTTTCCAGGTCGATTTGGCAATCCCGGGGAAGTTGATATCAAGTCCTACCACGAAGGATACAACCATAGATGCCGTGGCCTGAAGCCACAAGAACTGGTTTAACTACAAAGAAAACTCTGCTACTGAAAAATGGCCAGCCAATCTGGGGCCTATTGAAGAAACGTTTAAAAGAAATGAGCCATACCCCAGGGATAGCCGTCTCCTCTCCAACCATTGATGCAAGCATAGCCAACTGCATGGCCGAAAGGGCTCCTACCTAGGGCCAGATGTTGAAACTTCAGGTTGCAGCCGGCAACACATTGTATGTGTGCATTTATAGACATATACATTGACATATATACACATACACATGCACATACACATACACCCACACATACCCGTATACGTATACGTATAAGTACACGTATACATCTAAATATACATATACATAATTCATATTCATATACGTATTCATATACATATATACATTAATATAAGGTGGGGATCAAAATTGGGTACCCCCAAAAGCTCTATATGGCTTCATGCTCAAAATAACTACAACCTCTGGGCTGGGTCCGGTATGAACAGCAACCGAGTTCGGGCTCCCCAACACTCCGTGGGTCCTGAATCGCGGCGCCGCGCCAAGATCCATTGAAACTGAAACCATCCCTTGGATCTCATCATTCTCATCACTTTGGGTTTACCACATTACCTGGTTAATATGTGGTTAATATGTGGTTAATAATGGTTAATAATGGTTAATGATGGTTAATGATGATGGTTACTATATGGTTAATGATGGGAAATAATAATCTGGTTGGAGGTTGCTGCTAACCCCTCTGAAAAATGATGGAGTTAAAGTCAGTTGGGATGATGACATTCCCAATATATGGAAAAAAATGTTCCAAACCACCAACCAGTTACACATCCTGTTTCATCATTACCATTTGAAGACAAGATGGGTCAATAGATCTCCCACATGGACCCATCTTCCAGGAATCTGTTTTCGGAGGCTTCCAATCCACCAGCCGGTCACCAGCCTCTGCCCACGGATGCTTGGGTTCCAGTAGGGCGTCCACCGCCTGCGAACTTCCAGGAACTTCGGGAATGTTGGGAACAGATAGATAGGAAACCTGCGTTTTGACCGTTTTTTAACAACAAATATATGGTTTTCCTGCAAATGGTCCATTCAATGTTTGGAAGTTCTGGATGAAAATGGTCCAATGTGTCTGGATGAATTATCTGTTTCAAACATTTGAGTATCATTGTGTATCTGGTGATAATTCATGATAATTCGACGTTTCTGTACATGAAAGTGTAATAATGCATCCTCAAATTTGGATGCTACCATGCCATGGAAGATACCCTCTGGTAATTTAACATAACTATGGAAAATCACCATTTTTAATGGGAAAGTCCACTATAAATGGCCATTTTCAATAGCTACGTTAAATTATCAGAGGGTATGCTACTAACATAGCGTCTCAAGCCTCTGTGAACGTCGCAGCATTACCCATACTGAGATCATGAGAGATTCGAAAACCAAATGTGGGACGATGTTCCAAGCCATTTGCCATTTGATCCGGCCAAATAACATGTTGCCACTTTGAATAAGTGGCCTTCTCCTTTTCAGATCTTATGAAAATTTGGTATAGGTCATCCTGGAAATTCAACCCAATTTGCTTTACCATCACTTACCAGTCTTTTCTGATCCATACACAGTAGAGTTGGCCACGAAACTCTCCACGGGTCCCCCTCACAGCACCTGTTTGGAATCCATCAACTCAACCATCACCGCGAGGTCATTCGTCTGGAACGCCTCGCGGAACAGTCGTCGATCCGGAACGATTTTAATCCTCTGGCTTGTCAAACCAAAATTTGGCTTGCATTTGACTGGGGGTCAATAGGTACCAAATTGTGGTATAATTATACGTTTTTTATCATGGTTTTATCATGTTTATCCATCCGCAAAGTGTCCAACAATTGATGATGATTCATGACTTCGCAACAAGATATTGGCAGTTAAAAAGAGGTAAATGGACCAGGCGAAAACAAAAAGGTCTATTGACCCACTGTTGCTCAACAAAGAATGAGGGACTATTCCTCCACCGCATGTTGCTTTGCCAGTGCACGTTGTTGAAAGATGTGGGATTGAAGTCAACCAGTCCATCAAAGACTAAAGTAACTAGCATGTATTTCTCCGCAACTCAAGTTCTACAGCAAGTTGGAAACTTACCAAATTGATCCAAATTGCTATCTCAAAATACCCCCAACCCCCTTAGTCCCCTTTGTTTCGTCTGTTTCCCAACACCCAACACGCCATCAACCCCCCGCCAACATCCGTTGCGTTTTAACCGACCGAGAAACCGCGTCGAATCGCTCGGCATCGGGGCCAGTGGAGATGTACACGATCCGCAGACGAGTGTTCACCTCATGGATATCTGTGGCCTTCTGGCCCAGAAAGCTGAAAAACAAGCCTGCGGGCCTGCGGCCTGCCTGCATGTCTGATATGTAACATGATATAAATTAGATATGATATATGATATGATATGATATGATATGAATATTGATATGATATGATATGATATGATATGAATATTGATATGATATGATATGATATGATATGATATTAATATTGATATGATATGATATGATATGAATATTGATATGATATGATATGATATGAATATTGATATGATATGATATGATATGATATGATGATCATTTACTTTGATCGTGTAATATGATCATGTAACGTATAGTCAAAAAAGGTATGCGTGTTGTGAGTATATACCACATATAATGTACCCTCTGGTAAACTAACATAGCTATTGAAAATGGCCATCTATAGTGGATTTACCCATTAAGAATGGTGATTTTCCATAGTTACGTTAGTTTACCAGAGGGTATCGCCCCGCCAAACATTCTTGTTGGCAATCAGGTAGGCTCCAAAACAAATTCCGTGGGTGACCATACCAAATTTGATGCTCGTCTAAGTTTCACGATAAACAGAAGCAAAACAGCACCTTTCATTGAGTATCGACAGCCAGCTTCATCGCTGCTTCATGATACCTCTTACAAGCCCTTCCTACTGCAAAAATTCATTTCATAGTTCACACAGTTCACAGTTTGTCGGTGAATACCTTCACAACCCATGGTGCGGTGCCCCTTCCAATTCCCCCTAACAGGTTGGTCACGAGAAAACCGTTGGTCACTAAACCGGCCACTGACAGTCTTCCAGTCGTATTTGTCCAGTTCATCCAACTAAATCGCCGTGACTATCCCAAATATCCCAATAAACAACATGATTCTTATATAAATCCCCACAAAAAATAGATGATCTCAATCAACAATGAACCAGTCGTGCCTTCCCGAAACATTCGGAAAGGTTGCGTGCCTCAGTCTTGATCCAAGACCTACATCAAGACCATCAATTTTTTTTCCCTAGATGCGATGCAGAAAAGGTCAGAAAATCTCACTGTTTTAGTGGACGAGTGCTATCTATACACCTGGCCTGGAGTAAAATTCAGGCGACCTCTGGCTGCTGAGGTGGTCACATTTGGCGGCAGCGATGGAGCCGGTTCCTCGGAACTCGCGAGAGAGCTTTCAGCCACAGGAATGGCGGTGTTGATTGGTGTTTATACATCAAAACTAACTATTCAAAAATGATGGATCTAGCCAAGAACTGGGCTTAAGCCACCAAAATGGAAGATGTAGCCAACAAATCTGACATTCAAGGGTCCACCAGTTGGATTTTTCGAAACTGTACAGGAAATCGTTGTCAAATGCTTCGGAAGGTCCTGCAGATTTCCCCAATTCATGTCGAATTCTCCAAAAATGGACTGTACCATGCCCCAATTCATGGCCATTCTATGCCCGAGTGAAATGCTGGAAAAACCACTGGGTATTTTCAATGGGCCACCCAGTGTCCGCTCAGCCGCTCAGCCCATCAGATCTGAGTCATCGCACCAAGTGGATCCTGGCTGACCGGCCGCATTTTGGGGCGAAGATTTTTGTTCAGGGCCAATACCTGAACCAATCCCAACAAGATGTCAGAGTATACTATTACTATTTCCCTCTGGTAAACTAACATAGCAATGGAAAGATCCACCATTTTTAATGGGAAAATATCCACTATTTCTATGGCCATTTTCAATAGCTATGTTAAATTACCAGAGGGTATACCGTTTTACTGTTGTCTGAATAGGATTCGACTCTTCTATCTTTGGGGTCACTCTAAACAGTGTAAAAATGTGTTCCTGGTTTTATGCGGAGCAGGCTCAAGATCCAATATTTCAGAGCCCCCAAGCCTATTGGCTTCCCAATTCCATGGTTTGTGAGAGGTACGGTAGAGGTACTATATACTACCCATCGTTGTTCTTAGTGATGTCATATCCCAATAGTTGCTGCTTCTGTGCGGATCATTGTCGATTTCATCCCCACTGAAAAAAGCAGTATTGCTCAAAACGTGGTCTATGGCTGCGTGGCTTATTATACTCATCTGAGTCATCTCACATTCTCGGACCGGGATTCCTTACAATGGAAAAAATGGACATCCCCTGACATCCCCCAAGATATAATCCAACATACTCCAACCCTGGACCATGGCTTTCTCTGTGTACAAAGTTGTAGAAATATGGAGCTTTCCTGAGTCATGGTGGTACCCCTAGTCATCATCATCCATTTTGAAGGTATTTTCCATTATAAACCATCCATTTGGGGGTACTCCCATTTATGGGAACCCCCATATCTCACAATTTGATTCCTGGTGGAAGACTTCCGGTTGGGGCCCCGCACCGGTCCAACGGCCGTTGCGCCGACTCGGGCCGATGAATACAGCACCTGCAAGCAGTAAATAGTGCAAGTCACTATGGAGGTTTCCATAGATGGGGGACTCCCATAACGGATGGTTTATTTCCTGGAAAATCCTATATTAAAATTGATGATTTGGGGGTACCCCCATTTCAGAAAACCTCCATATGGTAAACAGTTTCAAACACTTCTTGGAAGTGCAGAAAGGTTTATGGGTTCGCTTTTTTCCACATTGCCACTTGTATTTGGGAATGTGGAGGATTCGCCCTCTGGCAATCGTTCGAGGTGATATCCTCAGCAGCAAAATCCATCCGGAACCTACGCAGGAACCACTGGAAGCCACTCATCTGGGCGCCCACACAATTGCTGAAGGACTGCTCGGAAGTTGAACATCACTACGGCACTAGATCCCAACTTTGGAGATGTGCCGGGAGTCCGAAGGTACCTATTACGGGAATTCACCTTCGTTTTTTAGTTGATGTTGCGCCTTAATGGATTTTGTATGATTGTGTTGGATTCTTGCTGAGTGGATTTTTTGTTTTTGAAGGTTTTGGTTCAAATCTTCAATGCCTGGTTTCTGAGTAAACCTACAGTAGGTCCGTATGTGGTTGAGTTCAAAAGCTCAGGGATTTTCAACCAAACTTCGCAAAACTGGTCCTACGGAGCCTTCAAACATTAGCTGCGGCGCGTTGAAATTTCCAAAATCTCAAGGATCCAAAATTTGGAAAAGTACACTGGAAAATGCAGGGAATACCTTTGCATCGCCGTCGTTTTCACGACGAAAAATCCCACTGCCACATCCCAAGGATTGTGTATTTTTGGGCGTATGCCAAACGAGATATTCAGTGGCTAAAGACAAGCTCAATCAATGGTGCTGGTGCTGGTACACTGCTTTTACTTCTAAGTATTGCACCGATGTGATATTGGGTCGAGCAAATGGAAGCAGCAAAGTTTCCAAAAAAAAAACGAAAGTATATAATGGACCCTGGATCCTCGCAGATTCATTACAGAAAGCACGTCGAGAAGCCAAGAACAAATGGTTTTTGAAATGAACCCAAACTCCATACTGAACTGGGTTTCCAATGATGGATTGATAGTTCACTTCACAAGTTTTGTTTCTTTGAAGTGTACTTCTTTAGTTCTCGAAACCAAGAAAAAAGCTGACATGGTTACATGGTTCGACCGTTTCTTGCCAGTTCGCGCCGATGCAACTAGGATCAACACCTGCGCGTTTCTATGGACTTTCGCCAGTGTTTCCCAGCACCTCAAAGTCCAGATGGGTTTTCCAATGGTTTCCGCCAGGGAAACTCCACGGGCCCGAGAAATCGTAAGCTTTCCACGCCATGGATGCAGCTCTACGCCTTGGAATCCTCCGTCTCCTCGTCGTCAGCCGATGGAGGCGCCAACGGCGTCGAAGATGTTGAGGTCACTTTCCCTTCTTGTCCTTGGATGGGTTACATTCCACCATAGTCGATATGATGGCTTTTGCACGGTCCCAATACTTTTTTGAGAATCTCCCATTTTCTGCAAAAGCAACAGCTGTGAAGAATTCACTTTTCAACAGGCGGTGATGACGTAGAACTTTCAATGGCCAGCCAAGATGCTTTTTTGCTCTTCTTGGTTTTGCCTTTCTTCTTTACCTTCTTGGCTTTCTTTTTCTTCTTTTTTCCTCACAAAGATACACAAAACAGGGACTGTTGCAAACTGAATAGTCGCATGGCCCAAAGATTTGCAGCTCCATCGCACCTGAAGATTCGCTGGACGATGAGTCACTGGAAGAGCCGGAACCTGCTCGAGGCGTTGGGTCCTGAAGGGGGGGTTCTGTGTTTCACCCACCCAAATCAAAGCCGTGCTGCTTTTTCAGGAAGGGATCATCAAGTTGGTTAACCGGCCAAACAGAAAAGACAAATATGACAAATGACATCTGAAACATCCTGAAACCAATTTTTTCTTGATAATCTCTGCAGCAAAGTGACTGGAACTGCTCTTCTTTGCTTTTTTCTGCTTCTTTTCCAGCTTCTCCTTTTTCTTCTGCGCCTTGTGACCGAATTCAACGGCAAAAAAAACTGGCAGCAAAAGCAGCAACAACATATGGAGAGAGAAGCTTATCAAAGTTGAGAAAAGTAGGATCTCAAACAAAAAAACACACAAAAAAAAATAGAAGAAGAAGTATCATGATAAATTGACAGAGAAGGAAAATTGTATGGGTTTCAGTGAAACTATGCTCCCAAAATCCCACTGTTGATCAACCACGTTGGCTGGATTACCATTCAAAATAATGAAAAAACAGTGGTATGTAATGGATACCAGAATCATGAATCAACAATTACCCTCCAGCAGTAAATTAACATAGACCCTGCCCTCAATCAGGGGTTGGAAGATTTGTGTCCACTAAACATGGGTTAATTTCAGGGTCAAACTCTTAATCTATCAGATAATTTCAGGTTCTATCTGATTTTCAGAGTTAAACTGTTGAACATCAAGTTGAACTATTTTCAGGTTTAAACTATAGCTAGACTATAGTTTTATATAATTATATAGTTTAAGGTGAATCACCCCAGGGGGCCTTGGAAATTCCCTCAAAAAACGCCCGACTTTTGGGATCCCCAAGGCCCGGCTCCCCCCCGGTCGCAGCGCAGCTCAGCTTGGGCCTTCTTCTGCCGTTCCACGGCACGCGCCTGCTGCTTGGATTCCAAGCGGATCACCTGGGATTCACCGACAAAGTGAGCCTTTTCTTTTGTTGAAAAAAAAATGAAAAAGTGAGAAGTGGGAGAAAAAAAGCATTGAAATAGTTCCTAAACCCTCCAATTCCTCGATGATAGTGGCACCTCAATGGCGTTCGCATCCAGAAGACCTCCAGCAAGATAGGTGTCCACCACCTAAAGGACACTGACTCGAAATGACCCAAAACATGTGGCCACAACTGCTATACCCTCCCTGGATGTAATATTTTCATGGGTTCTTTGGTGAAATGACCCCACTCTTTTCCAATCGAAAAGTTACTGGCAGCTGGCGGTGGGTCATTCCAGAATAATCTACTTGGGTTAACCACCAAAGACGCCAAGCAAGTGGGAATGCCTTGACATGTCTTGACTATTTGACTATCTTAAATGGAGGCAAGTATCGTAGTTTTTCTATGTGGGTGTGCCATCTTTTTCCGGCTCTCGGTGGTGTGAATGATACTTGCTTGATGGTTTCAACCCATGCTATGGTGATACAATGGGTTTCAACCCAACCAAAATCCGCATGTCAACCAAGAAATATTGATTTGTGATGTCCATGACAAAACACCCCTAACCATGGGCATTTTAAGATCATAACTTCACAGAACGCACCAACTTTGGGGCCACTTGTGGCCTTCATAAAGGTCACACTTGGACTAAAGGCCACATCGAAGACCTGCGAACATAGATCGATCAGCAAACAGGATCGACAAACTCCCCACGTGCAGCCAGATCCAACATGATCCAACCATTTGATTGGTGGCTTCAGCCCCATCCAGTAAAAAAGTTCTTAGTCAAATTATAAGCATCCTAAAAATGGCGATGAAGACAAAATGCTTCAAACCACCAGGACCACCAAACAACCATCCTGGAAACCGAACTGACTGTTCCTGCAAGTTGCAGAGGCCCTTTCACATGTGAAGGTTGATATCAAACTTTCAGCTACAGCGGAAATGCACCAACTCGGCACAACCCTGATTTTTTGAGAGGCTTTGGTATTTCCGATTTGATGACCATTTAATAAAAGAAACAATCAATGTTCCAATTCCTCATTTCTGGTATGTCCAGTCCAAATGATACATGCCAACTGGGGGATGGTTGATGTTTCCGATTTTGGATTTCTCTGGAAAAACCGGCGAAAACGCCGGTTTTTCCCATGGAAATTCCCCATGAATGGTTGTTTAAAGCCATAATCTAACCCAAATCCCATGGCATTGCCCATGAATTCCCCATATCAGTTGGTTATATGGCGCCAGATTGATGAGAATTATCCAAGGAACTGGTGAATGACCTTGGTTTATACCACCCATTTATGGTAGATTTGGGCATGGTGTTTTCTCTTGCTCAACATCCAAAAAAAATATCCCAACATTAGGTGGATGATTTCGATTCGCCCAGTTACAAACCCCTACTAAGTGGGTAATGGTGGTTCATGGTGGTTAATAGGCTATAAACCAACAACAATGGGAATATTATGGTGATCTGATGATCAATATATGGTTCATATATGATCCTGATTTAAGTCAACTCTGATTATCCCTCAAACAAAAGTTGTTGTTTTCTCGCCCCGACCATGCACCAGTCGGGTGATCCGTCACCTGTTTGATCTGCGCCAGTACCGCTGTCAGGTCCTCGGTGGTGGCGCGTTTCTCCACCACGTCCCGCAGCTTTCGGGCGGCTGTCTGAAAGCGGAGGAAGGATGGCTTAACGAAGGGATCTGACATAGGATTTAACCAACAACACTGGGATTGTCATGCGAATATAACCAGCATCATATGAGATGGCTATGTTCCATTATATGTGCATCATATAATATGTAATTGGGAATGATATGCAATATGACCATTGCAAATGGATGTAATGATGGAAATATAGCCAAGGGGATATTCAGACAGGAAACCGTGGATTTGTAATGTGGTAAACCCAGCAGGAAACCATCCCCGATATTACCACAAATGAGTGGAGGAAAAACTCCCCAAATGGTAGCCACATTACTAGATTTTACATTTCACTTTTGAAGCCCTACCAAACTATGAAATTTGGGGCCATTGTTGATTGAATTGTTTTTATGTACCATGAAACCTGCAGCTTCGGCCGTGGTACAATCCATCATCCAATCTCAGGATATCTCAGGGACTTAAGTCATCTGCAATGTTGATCCATAATGATCCATGGACGATTCAGGTTGCCGAAAGGCCCCTCCAGCCAGCATCCGTTCCTGAAGTAAACGACACACCGAACTTTTGAAACACCATTTATGGGGCCAGGTTGACACATGACGCGCCTTGTTTTCCACTTAAGCTGAAGCTCTAGGAGCAACACATATTCGTAGAGGCCTCCTTCTTGCCGTCCTGACATGCTCACATACAACGATCTGTCCTGAACCAGAACTTCTGTGGGTCTCAATGTGCCCGGACACTCCAAGACTTCCATGAAAGTTGTGTCACCTGGACGGATGGTCAGCATTGGTCAACACCTTTCTCCGGCCATAGTCAGCAACATATATGGTTCCAGCTTCAGTTACGAACATTTCCCAAAGGTCAATTCTTGGCTCAGCTGGGACTTGTCCCACGACAGGCTCGAAGGACGCAGCCGGATTGAATCGTAGAATGCGGTGTTTGATGTTGTCAAGAATATAGATCACCTCTTCCTTGGTCACAAACATGGTTGTGGCATGTTGTGGCCGTGCCCTGCAGATCTTCCGCCAGACTCTCAAAGGCCATCAGCGTCTGGAGCCTCGAGCCCTCCAACTTCTGCACACCTTGAACGGTCAGCACGTACAGCACTCCGGTGGGCGAGCAACATATGTAATTCGCGTGCCAGTCATCAAGCACGACGCGTCCAAATGCATTGTGACGGCCAAGCACCCTCTGATTTTCAAGACCCACAAAGATCTCGCCGCTGGGCACGATGTCCCAGGTCATTGATCCCTGTCATTCTGGTACCTTCACGGCTGGGTGGCTGGGTCGGTTTCCAACAAAGGAGCTCCTTACAAATCGAGTCCAGGCCATAAATGGCACCTTCGTGCCAGCACAACTGTACACAGGATGTAGGAAGCACTTGTCGCCCTGAAAACTCTGTGCTGGCTCCCAAATCCGGTGACCAGTGCTGTAAACAACGCCTCTAAAGGAGAGAACCCACAGTCAAGAGAATGTTCAAATCTTGACTGTGGGTTCTCTTTCGGCACTGAGTTCTCTTTCGGCACTGAGCTTGCAAAGCGTCTTTGGCTTTTCGGTGCAGGTGGTTACTATTGAGACCAGGGACAGGCAAGCGACCAAGGCGAAGTAAATTATCAACAGAAATCGACCTGAAATCCACGTAGTGCAGAAGCGCACCAAGAAAAACCTCTCTGTTGTCTCTGTCATTGGAGATCTTGAGCCAATTAAAGAGGGCTTTGAAGACCACCTCTTCGCGAGAAACCACCAAATCTTCTCTATCCAAAATTCCGGCCAGCTGACCAGGATCGAGTTTTCCGAAGTCTAGCTGCTGGCTGCAAGTCTCAAAATCTTCCGCAACCTTCTCTTCACATGCAGCTTTCAAAGTATGAAGGCCATGTGCTTCTTGCAAAATTTGCCGGGCAGAATTGCTGTTTAAAGAAGCACGGAAGCCTGTCTCAATCGCATTTGCTAGCTTTGGTAAGCTGAAGGCCTCCACCAGTCCAATCAGTTCCAGACCAGATTCCAGATTCACCTCAGGTTGCCCACCATAGACATAGTCAAGCAAACCATGGACCGCTGCTTGAGAAGCAGCAATTTCCACTGGCTGTCCTCGCTGCACCCGGCCTGCTTCTAGAAAGGATCCACCCAGCAGATTCTTGAAATCCTTGCTGGCGGCACATAGCACAGCGTGGGCACGATGTTCTGCACCGTCACTGCTCTGCAGCACGTCACAAAAATGGTCCTCCAGGGCTCACGAAACCGCTGCAGGATGCCGAGTGAATGTTGGGGCAAATCTGCATGACTTTCGCAGTTGCCATGGCGCAAGGATTCACCGGGTCAGTAAAGACGCATTAATAGGGTCAATCATGGCCTGAACCATCATCGCAGTGGAGGATATCCTCAGTGGCCATTTCAGCAGCCTAGATTGGAGGTACCTTCCATTTACAAGGTCTATGTAAGGGGATATACCATGATATACCATTTCTGCTTGATATGGTACAGTACCTCCCATGGAGGTACCTGAAATGGAGAAGGATCGATATCATCCGGGCCACCGCCCACCTGGTCCAAGTGTTGCAACAAGGCTTCAGCTGCGGTGAGGTCTGGCACTTCCGACAACCTCAGGGCAGAGCTGACGGCTGGTGATGTTTGGTCAAAATTTGTCAAAATGTTGAGCCATAGCCAAATATGTTGGTGATTGGTTTAGATATAAGAAATTGTCTGGAGATACAGTCAGCCATCAAGAAATTCAGGTCTAAGCATTCAAGCATCGTGAAATGATGTTTTTCGATCGGGGAATGGTCAAGTCATAGGATGCCGCAGGCGGTGTATATATGGTCCCGTCCTCCGTCTCTCCACCCCCCCCCATGGGTTGGGTCCCCAGGTAGTAGCCCCAATTCCCTTCTATTTGCAAGCTATTGGCAGCATTTCTGAGGTCCAGCGTCGTATTTGCTAGGTCTTTGCAGCATTTCTGACTACCAGCCTCGCATTTACTAGGTACATGCTACCTTTTAGGCGACCTACGTAGCACACATACTCCTTCAAAGTACCTACGTGCTACCTATAGTCATACATACATGTGCTATGTATCTACTGTATCTACTTCCTGTTTACTACCTGTGTACTCTGACAACACTACCTCTGTTGAACATATACCGTACCTACCATACATGTCAATGATGCCATGCATACCATACCTATCATATCTATCATACATACCATACATACCATACATATGAAATGTAATTACCACACCTACCATACATACAATAGCATACATACAATAGCAAGCATACATGCCATACATACCATACCTACCTTAGATAGGACATATTCCATACCCATCATAGTAACCATACATACCATACAGACCATACATACTGTCATATCAAACATACCATATCCAACAGACTTACATACCATACCTACCATCCATACAATACCAACCACTCATGCCATACATACCATACCTACCATACATACCAAACATACCATACTTTCCAAACATGCCATACCAGACCGACCATACACACCATACATACCCACCATACCATACCACACCCCCACCACACCACAGGGGGGGGAGGGGGACAGTGCCACACCCCCACCACACCACAGGGGGGGAGGGGGAAGATCTCATATGGGACCAGTATATGGGACCCATCCACCACACCACAGGGGGGGGAGGGGGACAGTGCCACACCCCCACCACACCACAGGGGGGGAGGGGAAGATCTCATATGGGACCAGTATATGGGACCCATCCACCACACCACAGGGGGGGGAGGGGGACAGTGCCACACCCCCACCACACCACAGGGGGGGAGGGGGAAGATCTCATATGGGACCAGTATATGGGACCCATCCCATATGGGGGGGGAGGGGGGGGGTGGCAGGGCCTGGTGCATATATATATATATATAGATGGTTGGTTCAATGGGATCATCAACAACCAACCATCAATGCGGATAAGACCAATCCAACAAGTATGATCAATCACATGGAATAGAAAGTGGTTCCAAGTTCCAACCAAATGGGATGCTTCGATGCTAACCCAAGATCTGTGGGTCCGACTTCAAATCTCTTGACTCATCAAAATATATGGGAATAGAATCTCTACATAGTGAACCCAATGGCCATGTGAGGCCCACCCGGCGCGGCATAGACCTTGCCAACCAAGCGACCTTCCCTGCGTCACCTGAGCAACAACGCCAGTGAAGCTCCCATCGCCCAGTTCCATCGTTCCATCCAGCATCATCCCAACCCCATCCCATTACGGCCTTCTTCACCAGGGATACAGCGGTGTAGGAGGGATCTGAACACAGCTGCAGATGCCCTTGAAGTCGAGCATGGTCCTTCGCCATGGAGGTCGAAGGGTGGCAGAAGGGTGGCAAGGTCGAGCCTGGATCCCCTAAGTTTTTTCGACATCCGGGGTTGACATGACCCGTGTGACCATGACCGTTGGTCACTTCAACCAACTAGTGGAATCACATCAGTGGTCGAAACCAAGTGAAACTACAGACTGACGCCTCTCCGCCAAACGACTCAAGCCAGACTTCAAAGCAGGCTTCGAGGCAGCCTCGAGGCTATAGAAATTGCAACAAAACAAAAAATGTAAGGATGAGGGAGAATTTTCGAGGCAAGCCTCGACGGCTGAAATTGGAGCAAATGCACATGAATGTCTATATTTTTTAACAGGTTTCACCTTCATTGAAAGGGCCGTTGCAACTTTACGCTTTACATGGGCCAATGTTCCTTTTTGTTGACCGTCTTGGCTTTTCGCTGTCCCCTCTCGGTCTATTCCCAAATTGAAAGCGGGTGCGGAATAAAAATTGTAGCTGTGTTCGTATCAGCAAAAAATACACTTTCTAGGCACCAACCCACCAACTCAGATCCAGGAAGTGTGTCAACGACATCTGTCCAAAACAAACAGCCACCGTGGAATCAGAGCTTTCACAAATAAAATTAACGTCGCAACCTTTATGTGTGTGTGTGAATGGATTCTGTTTCTGGCTGCGCACACAACTCGTGTTTCTGCATAACGCTGCAGAAAAATTCCACCAAGCCCTTCAACACCGGAAAACAAGACTTCCGACGCAGCGGCCCAACTGTCATATCCAATCCACGAATTCTGGAAAGAGAGTAATACTCACAAGAAGCTGTGAGTTGCATGCAACATGCTTCGAGCTACCAAGAAATCCCATCTCTAGTCCTCTTCTTGCGTACTCTTCCGCCGAACCCGTAACTCCACCAGCCGACACCTGGCCAACAAGCAGGGGAGAAGAAATGGGCCATGAAACCACCGGGTAGAACAAGGTTATACATGGGATAAACTCGGGTTACATGATGTTACATGTATATTGTGTATATATATAGATATATAGCAATATGTCTGGGTATAATGTTGATTACAGACCATTTAAAATCATTGAAACCACTATATACTATCCAAAATGATCTGGAATGCACCCCCCAGAAAACATCGCTGGCCACCTGGCAGCTTCGTTGAGCTTGTACTGCTCGCAGAGCCTCAGAGAGTGAAATCTCACATCAAAATCCTTTGGGAATGGAAATATAACGGGGATATAATGGGAATATCGTCATTTTCAAATGGGAAAATCCTCTATAAATCTTGATTTACCCTCTGGCAGTTGACTATAGCCATGGCAAAAGGCCATGTTTCATAGGTATATAAATCGTCTACAAAAGATTACAATGGGTAATTGTCCACGGCCAACTTCCATAAATTACCAGAGGGTAGTCCTTGAAATTGGCTGATTTGGGGTGCCAAGTCCTTCGGTACCCCTCTGGTAATCCAGTCCATACCCATGGTTTGCGGGAAATATCAATCTACAATCTTCTCGTCATGTGGGGATTCGTCAAGACCGCGGGAAATTCACATCTTTGAAAAGGGAAGTCATCTACAATTGAGGGATCTATGAAGGATTTCCCATTGCGGGTGTAAATTGCCAAGGGCACTCAAAAGCTTAGAGTTTAAATCCACGGCTTACTACTCACACATGATCTTTGACAAGATCAGTTCTGTCTCGCAAAATCTCAATCTGACGCGTGATTGCTTTTATTCAAGTTGTGTGGCCCACTGACAATAAATCGCCCTGCCATCAGCAACTCTTCCATCAAAACCATTCCATCCCATGGATTAAAACCTCATTTTCCCATCATTTTCCCCATCAAAACAGCCTTTTTCGATGGGTGTAAAATCTCCCATTTTTGGGCGAACCGCGAACCCTGATGGCCATCAAGGGCACCTGTCGATGTTCTCATCCCGCTTGAAGTTGGTCACCTGAGGCTATTACCCCGGAATTTCATGTTTAATCATCAGTTTCCTCATCAAAATTGCCAGAAACTAATTGGAGTAACATTGCTTGCAGACACACCCACTCTCTGACTCTCTGACATCGCAGAAATCCTTGTGCTGGAAAAGCAGCCAACCAGCTTGTGTGAGCTAATCCCTGACATACACACCCACAAATCATATTGTTGGTTACAGTATGCGTTCCTACTAATATCCCATGTCTCATCCCCATGATCCCACAATCCCCACCAGAAACCACCATGTCTTGTTGCTTATCAATTACTTCAAAGTCCCCCCAAAAAAAAAGGAGTCAGCCAATGGTGATCTTTCCACTATCCCACAGTGACCAAAAAAGGAGTCCCACCTTTGATGGGGATTTGCGGCTCAAATCTCCCATCGAGCCAGTGGGATCATCACCCCATTCCTCGAAATTTAGGTGAAAAATCAGCCACCAGAAATCCCATCTCCCCCCAGTTATAAGTTGGTTTATAAGCCCCAATAACTATAGTTATAAGTACCATAAACCATAGTTATGGCGCCCAGCCACGAACTGCCCATCCTCCATCTCGTCCAGTTTGGCCATCAGCAGCCGCGAGGGGTTGCGCGCCGTCTCAAGGATCTCGTAGAGCTTGGCTAAGTCCCTACCACGCCATGAGAGGAGCCACAGGCCATTGGGGGATAGGAACTGAGGAAAAATAGAGAGAAAACCCTGCAAAAATGGAGTTGAAACCTGTAAGAATTAGGGATTCTTAGGATTTTGGGAAAATGCGGATAGAACCTGACATGTCTAGAGAGTGTCAGGATAAACATGGGTGATCATAGCACCTAGTCGCTGATCAGTCGCTCTTAATGAAAAATCTGGCTGTCTGTAAAATACTGTGTGCCAGAAAACATCCATAGTTTCTCAACGTTATCCGTGGATCACATCAATTGGATCACTCGCTCTGGATCCAAGTTACAAGCCGACTAGACAAATGGAATCTCCAGGCATCGGAGACTCACTGACCATCTTCCACAATTGTTAGTCCTTGTTCCATCCAGCGAAACCCCCCAGCATCATTGGAGGATTGCGCCTCTCCCTGGAGTCCTTTCGCCTTTCCAGGAACTCATCGAGCCTAGACTGTGCCAATGTCATGTCGTTCCAGCTAGAGTTTTGCAAAGCTGCACCACATGACCAACCAAAGTTCAGAGTCAGCATTGTAATATATCATATATCAATCAAGTGAACCTTCCAAAGTCGTATACCTTGCAGCTGGTGATTCCATACCTCAACACCTTCGACCCCTCGGCCGGCAGCCAACCTCTCCAGTGTTTGTTGGTCGATGCCGAAAAAGCCTAAGAGACTGCGTGACGCATACGCATGATTCACAGATCGCAACACTGGCAAGACACTACTTGGTATTTGGTATGTAGCAAAATAGTGTCCCGGAACTGGCCCCATGAAGAAAGAGTTGCAATCCGCTGAAGCGCTTCAAGTGCCGTTCATGTCATCATCGATGCTTCCCGAGACACTTCCAAGCCGTCGAACGTCGCGATCCGCTGTCTTGTCTCCTTGCAAACTGGCAGAACACGCAGTTCAGATTTTAAACAATTCGCGCGGGTGTGTCACCCAGTGGAAATCACAACATCTTTGAGCGATTGATGGAATCAGAAACACAAAGTTTGTTTCTATTGGTGAAAGCTGATGCAGCAACAAATCCTTTCAAAGGACTCCATTAGAAAGCAAGCTCTGGTTTCCCAAAACCAACATCTCTCCAAGAGCGCCTGCAGGAAGCTTTTCTGCCAACTGTTCTTCTTCCTGTCCCTGGTTCCATGCCATGGGGACCATCTGCATGGGATTCCTAGGCACCAGGGGGTCCTTTTCCATGAAAAGGTGAGGGGGGAAATTTCTGAGTGGGGAAAATATGTTCAAGTTCTTCTCCAACATGGAAATGTATGGAAGTTATTGGTGACTGCACTCCCACAAACACACGCCTTGGTAGGTATCCACATAGGGATTGCTATCCTTCAAAAGTAGGCACAATGTTCCTTGCAGTCCTATTTGTTAAGTTTTGGTGAAGTAGTCTCAAGTTTCGCATCTCATTCTTCCAAAAAGATGTCATGTTTCCACCATCCAAAAGCAGGATTATCCATTACATGTCGAACATGTTTGTCACAATGTGGATCAATCATCCCACACCATCCCAAACCACTTGGCGGAAAGCTGACTTAAATTGACTTCCTGGTGCTTGGTAGGGAATGGGGGAATGGGCCAGGAATGGGATGATTATTGGTAGCTATTTATACATATTAGTACTGTATCATATAGCGATCATTTCCCCATTCCCTGCTAAGCACCAGTAAGTTGAAGCCAGCAATGGAGTGAAGCCAAGCTTCACAAAGGTTGGCATGCCAGTGGCATCGAAGCTGGGCATCCACATGGTGCACCGGCCTCTGCGCTGCATGTGGCAGGTCCAAAACGCCAGGAGTCGTTGGGCTGCAAACCCGACAAACTTACCATCCAAGCATTAACCTACCATACAAAAATGATGTTACTCTAGTAGACTTTTATACATTTACTAAACTATCCAACCCTTACGTACACTCAGGTCAATGAGAATAAAAGGTGAGCCCACAAACTGGGCCGGGCCGGGCTCCCAGGCAGGTCCAACCGCAGTTTCTTCTGCGGGTCCATCAACGTTGCCGCATCACCGGGGCGCGGTGCAGATTCGGGGCTAAAGATTGCTGCGGTTCAAAGGGAAAGTGAGCCCTGTGGCCATGTGGCGTGAATAGACATATGGGGATGGGTCAATACCTATTAATACCATTTTTAGTGGGATGAACATCCATTTATATACCAGCTATCTTGATGTTCACCAGGGGTACAAGGTTTTGACACACTGCCATATGACATCTTTGAATTGTTCACAAAATGCTGCAAAGCATTACACGTTTAGCGCTTGGACTGCACCACCAATCGTCCTTCATCCACCAGCACTGCATCCTTTTCGCTGCTGTCACCCCTCTACAGTCGGCAGCTTGGACTTCACAGATCTGGCGTATTTCTTTGCAACCACCTGGACCTTCCTTTCGCTGATTTTTTGGGGGAACCCTCCCAGAGAAATCACCACTGAAGTCGCTGCCATCTGCACTATGGAAGTCTTCTTTGGACCCCTGCTATGTCCCCTCAGTTCCTCGGCTGCAACAATCATGGAGATTCAAACATCAAACCTGTGCTTCAAAAGTTTGGGCAAATCTTGGAAGTTTATCTATCTCGACCAACGCTTGTCTAGCATGGTAACAAATTAGTGAATGACTGAATTCAAGATATGCCCCTTCACAAGTCATTCAGTTTTCAGTTTTCAGGTGTTCCATGAGGGTCGGGGCTGTTTAAGCAAATGAGACTGCTTGTACTGCCGAAGACATCCTTGTAGGGATCCCAAAGACAATGGATGCCACTTGATACTCTTCCATATTAAAGATGTTACAGCAGTGAGGCTCAATGAAAACGTAATTTTTCCAGACCTGATTCTGACTTTGGCAGTAGGTTTACCTCAATCTGGGTCAGGTTCTTGCCCATCCACCAAGCAAGTGTTTAAACTTTAAACAATGACTGGATGATTAAACTTGTGATGCACGCCTAATACACCAATGCCATCTATCGGCATCTGAAGTGAGAGCAGCACAACAGTACACAGAGCCTGTTCAGGAGAGTGATTTCCCAAAGTCGTGTTGCATTTGAGCGGAATGTCCTTCTAGAAGCCCAAAGGTACATTCAACTTACAGGCTTTGGTATACTAGTTCATCAACATACCAGTTTTCTTCCCGTTTTTGCTCTTGCAGAGCACAATGACAATTGATACTTTCTTCCGATGAACTTCTGACAATCGATGAGACGAATGTCTGCTTGACATGCGCCTCACATTCTACACTGCACATGCATATCAGGTTGTACCCTTGGCCACATGAGATTTGCACACCACTTCGTGTAAAATAATCACGCACCCTCACTGAAACATGTTCCGTCTTCCATCCAATGCAAGTTTTAACTCCTAGACGTCCCACAAGATGGTAGCGATGTGAGGACAATTGTTGGCCTTCAACTTCGCCTCGATGGCTTGCAAGGCGTGTACAGGATCCAAGTCTCCCTTCGGCCCGTTGAGCCGCACTATCATACCGCATGCTTCCGTCTTGGCTCCCGCGGTTGACATACCAAAATTGCCGTTGTGTTTGAACAAATCGAGGCCTCTGGGACTGTAAATGGCTAGCAGAAGCTCATCAAAGCAGTCTGGTTTGACTTGGGAGAAGTAACAGGACCAGTGGGTACCATAGAATGACAATTGCGAATGCTTACACTCTACACGTGTACCGTCCCTGATCCAATCGGCTGAGGTGCAGTTCCGCCCACGAATCGAGCCTGAAACTGTCTGCTCACTGGCACACTCCGAAAATCTGCTTCCAAAATTTAGCAATTTGTCAATGTCCCGGACCAGTCTTTGGACTTTGAGCCCTCTCAACTGAGGGCTCACTAAACCTAATGGTTTATCATTGTAAAACTGCATAGTAGAACCAGCATGGTTTTTGCAAAGATCCGCAATCAAACTATCTGAAAGCCTGGTCTTCCAAACTACAGAGCAATCACCCTTTTCGCACAATTTGCGTAAGATCGCTGAAAGCGATTCCTCCCACCCATTGTTGACGCCGCCGTGGACTTGTATGCGATGACCCCGGATCTGTGTCACAACACCATTAGTCGAAATTCCGGTTTTCAAATCATGTTTTACCAAATGAAGCCAATTTGGGCTGAATAACACTAAGTACAAATCGTCAAACCTGGCTCTCCCCTGTGACATCATCTGTGGAAATTTTACCCATCGAAAATCAACTTTCCACTCATTCCTCGCCCACTGAAGCTGAGAGCTTTTGATCTCAACCTTGCGACCATCCAGCATGAAATCATACTGCGCTTGAGACTTGTTTCGCCGTCGGCCATTCACACACATCCCAGGCACGGCATCTTCTATCAGGCTGTTCGGATGTTGCCTTTGCAGCATCTGCCGGGCCCATTCCTGCAGCACAGCTCCTCGGCGTGCCGCGTTCAACTGCGCCAGAGGATGTCCATCGTAAGGCCTCGCGGTCTCACCCACGTCAGCCCACAGGTGTTCAAACTGTCGAGCCGTGAATGTCGCAACCCAAGAGCGACAGAACCACGCGGCATCCCATCTCCGCTGTGAGACGAAAGAGCTACGCGTGCGTTGCAAGCACCGAAAAGACATTGTGAGATCGTTCGATCGGCTTCAAGGGGATCCCGCACATTTTGAAGCCCATCAAGCGACCCAAAATGATCCCTTCACAGTTCAAAACCGTGCAAGTTACCTTTCCCATGTGGCGACCAGGGAGCAACAAAATATGCCTGGACTTGATTCCGTTTAGATTTCCCACTAGAATTATGTTGAATAAGTATGTGTTCAAGCCCAACCTTCATTATTCTGGATGCCTGCCAACTGCTATTCTATGGCTATCCATGCCCTTTCGGTGCTGTGTGATTGTGAGTCTGTCTGCTAAAAATCCAGGAACGCAGGAACGAAAATGTAATCAATACTATAAAATATTATCAAGAATAATGACGCCGCGGATGATTGAAGCGCAGCAGTTATATAAGATCTTCCATGCCTGCCGTGCCGGTGTCTTCAAACAAATCCCAGCTGGTCAAAACTTGTTGTAATCCTTCCCTAGCGGCCCAAGTGTAGCTAAGCGGCGGTTTCACCTTTGCTCCGCTGGCTCAACTGCACACCTTGGCAGGAGCATCGTGGGAACCGACCGTCTCACGTTGTTGGGGTGCTTGACGTGCAAAAAACACAGTGGATCGCGGCAGTTTCTTGCAGGCTAGGGGCTAACACATCTGTTTTAACGTTTTAAGTTCATCTAAATTCAGATCCCTCAACTGCAACAAAATGTTAAGAACTCAACACCCCCCCTCATGGACGATGCCTGGAGCTTGTGACAGCTGATCGCTCGTTTTTGCACCTGGTCAATTTCAACCAGGGATCATTGGTTGATTTCGCCATAGACGGGTCAATGCCAATATCATTCCTGTTATCTCCAGTATTATGTTTCAGTTTTTGAAGTGTCAGTAGTTGAACCAATGAGAGAGTGATGCTTTGGGTTGATGGTTTGAAATGCCTGTGACCGCCTTATCACAGGGCATTGCATTGATTGTCAGCAAAGAGGTATCCCAAAACTGCCAACTCAAAGCACCAGTAAACGACATGTTGCCCAACTCCAGGATAGAATTTCAGCAACAATGGCTGGGGCTGTTGCAGCTTGACCCATGTATTGGAGCTTTCAGGCCTCAATCGATGAAAAGCATGGCGCGCTGTTCTGCAGACATTCCTGGAGCGAAAAAAACGACAACTGGCCTGATGAAGCTGTAGATTCCAGGTTCACAACAAGGGCTGTTGGAAATCATGAGCACATGGGGGCTACAGCCTTGCATGGGGAACCCTCAGATTTGTTTTGGAATCCCACAGAAAGTTCGAAATTTCATGCATTTGTCTTGGAAGCCTTGCAGATCGTTTGGCAGTCTTCCTTCACCTGACTTTCCTTTTTTAAAGTGTGCCCGACAAGAGGTGTTTCTGTACATGTACGAGTGCCATAGCTTCAAAGGTTCTGAAGCATCCCAAAATCTTGTTTTTTGTTGCTCACCTTGCATATGTGCATTCCCAATCAAAGCTCCGCTGTCCAGTGCCCTTCCAACTTCACCCCCCCAACAGCCGTGGGCCTTTCAACGTTTGGGGCCCTTGTGCAGCTGCTGGGGAAGACTCATCTTCAGTGGAGTCCTCAAAACAGGGTGCAAGCAGCAGCAGCTTAAAATTGAAGGATGTAGGAGAAACCGTCAGAAACAGTTGACACACTTGGAAACCTCAACTTTTCTGTTGCACAGTAGACCTTTCCGGATACCTGAATCAAAAGAGCCCAACTTGTGCAAGGTCTATGCAAAGCCATGCGCTGAAAAACCAGCGCCTCCTCTTTCTTTTTCGGCTCCTGCGGCATCAGCATCAGTCACATCACATCTTGGACTTCCAGACCCAGTGAGCTTTTCCTTCTCCAATAGGGCTATTTTCGAGGGGAGTTCATGCTGTTCCCACTTCCGGAACACACCCCAGAACTTCTTTGAAAATTGATAAATCCACAGATCTGGGGATGGGTCAAAACCCTGGTACCTAGTGAACCCCAAAATAGCTGGTAAATGGATGTTCATCCCCTCAAATATAGCAAGATTGGTTTTGATAAATCCACAGATCTCAAAGTCCCAGCAAATTTGGGAAGATTTCACCCAGCGTCTCATCCATCTCCTCACCCCGAAGCAGGGACACCAGCTCTGCATTGAGACCTCGGGAGGATGAGGAACAACAGATGGAAAGGTCTATGGAAGGGAATACTGTATCCATAAATATCCATAATATGTATAGAATTGTATAGAAAATCCCCCAAAATAGATGGCACCGCATCTACCGAATGGACTGGACCATTGGTTCAATCATAGGTAAAAAAGATCTGGATCTTGGGTATGGGTCGAAACTATAAACATGTGGACACCGAGATTGGCTGGATTCGCAGCAGCTTAACTCATTCTTGTCTGATTTCCTCTCCAAAATCATTTATGCATGGCTATGTTCAGCGCCTATCGCCACATTTGGATTTCTTACTTTTTACCCCCATTTCTGTCGGTTCACTCCCCATTTCTGTTTAAGTCCCTTGTTGGCTATGGCTAAACTAGAGGACTGGACACGGACAAAGGCCAGTCATCGTTCCTTAGCATTCAACCATTCTCATTTAAGTTGTTGGTCATGGTTGCTGTTTCCTACCCAACCATTCACATCCCAGTCATATCCATGTTTGATTTATGTTTTTGGTGTGCTAAACCACTATGCCATTCATCCTTTGTCAAGAATTCTTGAGCCAATCCCCTTCGGGCTTTGGTGCTATACCCCGATCTCCAACTCAGCCATCGGTTCCATCTCGCCCTTGGTCGCCACACCATTGATGGCGCCCAATTCTGCACTCGTCTTCTGTTGAGCCTCGGCTACCAGAAAATGTCGGGCTGAAGCATCCTCCCTTTGGGCAGAGTGGCCTTTGCCAAAATCCTGAGGATCTTGAACCATGACATGAGGATGAAGCCACCCAAAAATGGAAAATGTACAAGTCTTCTGGTGTGTCTGTATCCAAGTACCAAAAAAGCAGTGGAACAGTTTGACCGATGGCAACAAATGGCCTGACAGGACACCCCATTTTTTTGGCTGGCACCCGTGGTCTCGCTTGGTTCCGGGTCTTTGCCCGGTTCCACTTGCGCCTGGCAGGGCAGTCCAAATGACACTGCACATGTGCACGCCCCCAAATCAAAGCAAGGGGTGCATCGGGAATAAACCTCAATCTAAACCCCCCACATGAAAACGCAATTTGTGCATGCATCTTTGTGGCCAAAATCTTGCGACAGCAACGCATGGCCACAGGATTACACTAGTGATCTCATGTCAACCAGTTCCAACTCCAATAGCCATTTTGACACGCAGCAAATCGTTGGGTCGCCAGTGGCTGTTCCTCCTTCAGAGCGGCCCCAGCGCAAAGCGGCTAAGCAGTTAAGCGTTTGCTGCAACACTACATGCTGGCAGCAATATCTGAAGTCTGAAACTGTAAATGGGTGTGTCCCAAAATTTTGCGTACCCCACAAGAACCATATTGGATGTGGGAAAATGATGATAATCCCTCGGAATTGGGGTGGCTCTATTTTCATCTGCTTTCAGACAACCCGTATCTATGCTGATGTGGCCGAGCAAGGAGGGCGTCAGCACCTGGGTTACGTTGGCTTGGAGGCCGCGCACAGAAAGGTGACCAACATACCAATGGGTGTAACTGACAATGAAGGTGTGCCCCGAAAGATCATCTTCGTGGGAAAATGACGATTAACTTATATAAGTAATCACGAAATTCTGAGGGGTGCACCCCTATTTTCAGACCACCCCAGACGGTTCATAAAAGTTGAAAAGCCAAAATCCAACCATTATGGTTTCTTATAATAGCAGCTTAGCAGGCATCAATGCTTTCAAAACTTCCCACGTGACTCTGGGTCAGAATGATGACAGTGACTGACAAAGCAACCGCAGGTTTATCCAGCTTTCGATTGAACCCTCCAAAATGTGTCCAATTTCTTCCGTTTTTTTCCTAGGTTGTCCTATTTGATTTAATCTTCATGTCAAGGAGCAGAAGCAGTGGTACCACTGGGGGGATGCACCGTGCTAGTCATCTCCGCCAAAGGTGCCCACCAGCAGAACCTCGTGCAGCTTGGGGCCAATGAAGTAGGTGTTGCCACCCATGGCACGGGAGCACTGTGACCCGGCATACACGTAGTCCTTCGCGGGTCTCAAAAGCCTCGCATCTCACCGGAAGGCCCGCATTAGATAGAGGTCGCCGTGGCACTGCTGGCTGCACAGGCCGCAGCCCTCCTCCCGACTTCCTCACCCAGTAAAGGCTTCCACACAGCGGGCAAAGAGGGACGTGGGGAAAAGTCCGTGTCCGACAGGCTGACCAGCAAAGTGTTGACTTCGACGCACTGGATCCCTTCCTCCTGAAGTTTATCAGCAAAAGCCTCCAGGGCAAACAAGCAGCGGTTGCCACTGACAATGAACACCTTCCCGTGGGGGGTCTTGCACACCTACCAGGGCCGGCATGTCCGTGACGTGAGTCTCACCACTCAGCAGCTTGTTTGTCAAAGCTTGCACCAACTTTGCACCTTCCATTTCGGAAAGTCATTGACATGGATGTGTGTGAAAAATGCAACTGCTCAACGTTGGGTTTTTTTGGATGCATCCACCCCACATGCAGTGGTCAAACTTTGGACTGGCCGGGTCGCAGTCCCGGTTTTGCTGCGCAAGGAACAGGAACTCAGGACCTCTTAGGGGTTTGACCAGTGGGAGCTCCAACCGATTGGTGGTTTGGCTACTCCTCGCACTCCATCACCTCATCCTCCTCTGAAGATTCTACGGACTCTTTGATTTCATTTTTGACTTCTAACAATTCCTCTTTGATTTCATTTTTTTCTTTCACCTTTGGCATCGCCTTTGCTGGTGGGCCCACAGGCGGAGCAGCTTTGGAGGATGCTGCGCCCAAGGATGTAGCTGGTGGCATTGACGGCATGGCTTTCACTGGTGGCCTAATGTTCACCTCCTTGAACGGCTTGCTTGGCATTGCTTTCGGCTGGACGTCATCCGACAAAGCATGGAAAGGAGGCCGTGGACGCCCCTTGCACATAGCAGCCAGCGATCGAAGCAGGACTGGGGTACTGTGTTTGTGCTGGGCTGCCGACTCTTTCTGCTTCTTCTTGGTGTGCCCTTTTCTGACTGGCCGTCGCACACGGCGCTCCTCACCGGTGCTAGAAGAAGCAGCACTCGCTGCACCAATGCCATTCGACATCGCTCTCTCGACCTGCAGCTTCAGTTTGCTCATGTCTGTGCCTCCAGGATTGCGCCCGGCTCGTCACAGGCAGTGTCAAGTATGATGCCCTCTCGTAGCCCAGTTTTGTTGGTTGTCATGCTGAAAGCCTGCAATCCTCGGACACGAAGAATCTTCAGGGTCGCTTGGTAAAGCCTCTGACTTTCCTTGATTGCTTTCAATCTTTTCTTCAACGCTTTTTGTCCTCCTCCACCTCATCCATCGCATGTCTGCTTTGCCATCCTTCAAGGCTTTGGGTCTCTCCTTGCCCGAGCGACACCGTAGTCCCAGGATCCTACTGCAGCACATGGGTACCTGACATCTTGGACTCAGGTGGAGTGGATGAATGAAGCGAGTGGAGATTTGAAGGCAAACCATGTAACTAAATGGATACAGCAAGATCGATTTGGGACTCTAAATCCTCTGGTGCGCCCAAAACTTTGGGGTAATCATTACATCGGTAGGTTCTGATGCTGGTCAATCCTCCCGAAGCTTTCCATTAAACCTGAAACGAAAGACTCCCCGCTGCCTAAACATTGGCCTATTTTTTCAAGCCGAAACAGACCAAGCCCTGCGGAGGTCACACATCAGATCATCATGTTTCAGGGATCCAACTGATCCAACGATCTAACCGCAATGTTTCGGGGGGAAAAAACCATGGGACCATGCCCCTTCCAACATCCTCCATCCCTTCCAGACTGACCCAAAGGCACCAATTCCCCACGAAGCCCGATCAGGCGACAAAAAACAGAAACATGTCAATTGTTGTCAATCAAAATCTCCGGTAGTTACAGCCCATCATCCTATATATCCTTTGGTAATTCAACATAGCCATGGAAAATGGCCCACGTATAGATGAGTTGATTCTCAAAAATGGTGATTTTCCAAATGTCGTTACATCACCAGAGGGAACCCTCACCCCGCCACAAAATCCATTGGTGATGCGAGAATGAGGATTTATCTGAGCAACAAAGGTGCTGATAGATGTACATATCCTTACATATCTATACTATACCTTTTGAACGCTTTCTGCATGACAAATGGCGTTCACTGCTTGGACCAATGAGTCTCGCACCAGCTAGGATCCACGGATTCCTGGCGGGCTGCTTGAGGAAGTGTTAGATGATCCAAAAAACTGTGCATGTGAATAACTGTGAATACACCAAAAGTGTGTGGAAACTTGAGATTTTGCAACAAATTCATCAGTTTCTCGCGGTTTGGGTTTGCAGAAACAATGGGGTCCCTTCAAGATGCAATTCGATTACTATGAATCCCACATCCACTTCTGAGTCGACCCCTCCTTTCAACACATACACTTCAAACATCACCATCTAAAGAAACCTCCATCCAGCCACAAAGCCACGGTTTCACCCCAACTGGATGCCCTCTTGCCCTCCAGTCCTTACTCCTTACCAGAATCGCTCGCCTCATCTGCCTGCGCATTGTCGATCGATTTCATCTCGCTATCTCTGCTCCATCGCTGACAATACCCACGCGCTGCTGGTGAATGGAGAGGTTTATGATGAGCCCTGAGCCTAAAACTGTGAAGGCGAAGAATTGCGCCTTGAGAGATTTGAGAGGCCGAGGTGCAAAAAGGTGCAAAATCCAAAGTCTCAACCCATCTGACAATCCAACACAAAGTACGACAAAATCTTGCCGGCTCCTATGTCAGTCCGCAAATTGCACCCGACATCCCTGGAGTGGCCCAGCCCTGGCCCTTGGAGCCTCTGTGCTCAGGTCTTGAAGTTGACTCTTCACCTCCAAGGGTTTCTTACTGTGGAAGGACGATGGCTGGATTAGGATGGTGGTGCCCCAGTTCGTTCGCTAAGTTGGGGTTCACATAACTCCCATTTCACTATGGTTTATGGTAGATATAACTATAGTTTTCATGGGGTTTATAAACCAACTTATAACTGGGGGGCACCATCCTGTAATATGTGGAAGGATAATATTCAGCAGTATTAGTCACAACACTGGTACACCAAGAGCTCCATTGTGTAACGGCTGCCCCGCCTCTTGCAAGATCTTGGTTTCGTTCACTTCCTGGGAGTACCAAAAGGTTTGTTGAAAAGGGAGGGGCCCAGAAAATGAGCAGAATCCAAAAACACTTCCAATGAAAAGAGCCAGAAGTGACTACCATCAAATGCTTTTTAGGGGATGTCAAGGGCAAAATTGTGGACAAATGCCTGCAGACAAGTTGAAGCGTTGAAGCCAAGTCGCCATTCCAGCCTTCAAAGCCACACTTGGCTCGTGAAGGAGACGCTGGACACGCCTCTGTGGTTGAGAAATTTAGAGATTCCAATTTTTCTCGTCAAAGATTCAGCATCTTGGTAAAACTCGTGGTAGCAGCACGAATCTCGGAGTTTGAGTTGGGCAATCCCAAATCTTTTGGTGGGTACATCCCATTTCTGTTTTTGCGAATGTGGGTAAATCACGGGTATCATGGTAAATCATTGGTAAATCACGGGTAAATCATGGATAAATCATGATAAATCATGGTGAAGCATGATAAATCATGGGTAAATCATGGTGAATTCCCGAATTCCCCCAGATTTTCTCGGTGAAATGCTCCCCTCCCCGGTGTCACCTCCGAGCTCGGCTGGGATCTTCCCATTCTTCGGACTCCAGCAGCTCCATCGCCGAAGCCCGCAGCTGCGCCACGGCCCCACCCTGCCTGGCGTCCCGCTGGAGGATGCAGGGGTAACTCCAACACATTTGACCAACAAATGGTGGATTCACCATGAAAAATGGTGGATTTAATGGGTTTTCTTGGATTTTATGGGTCAACAAAAGGGAAAAATGCCACAGGAAACCATGATTTTTCATGGTTTTTCCCTGAATGATTGGTTTTTTTCCTGCAGATGTTCGCTTCAACCAAGTCTGAGATGATCATAAATCTTGATGATCCTGATGACATGTGATCCTTATCCTTATTCTGCTGATAAATCATGATGATCATTGTCTTTTCGATGTTGTATTCGGATGATCATCATTCATTGTCATCCACAAAGATCAAAATTCAACCATGTGCCATGGCAAAAAAAGGACCAACAGCTGTTCTGTCCAAAGCCACCTGGCCAATTATCAGCTCAACTGCTACCTGGCAAATGCTCCCAACATATTCTTGGCTTTGTCCCATGAATAAGAAGTTGCTTTACTGGGAGATGAATGGATATTCGAACCAAATATGAATGGGAGATGGATGATTTTAAATGATGTCAATCAGTTTTACTCCCCATACTTGAAAATCCCAGCTGATAGGTCTGATAGGTCATATCCCACCTGAATCCACGCAACTTCTCCTTGCACTTCACCAGCTGCGTGGCCAGCAACCGCTCCGCCTCCGTGTACTGCGCAGGACCCCGCGCTAGGGGCTCGGCAGCCGCACGCAGGGCCTTACCAGCCTGGCGGCATCGAAATGGGGCCGGAATTTCCTCAGGAATTCAATCACAGTCGATTTCAATTCATGGATAAAAAATGATAAACTTGGGTTGGGGAATATTTCTCATCGCTTACATTGCATTTCATTGACATGACAAACTTGTGAGCTACAATATCATAAGTTGCTTCAAGCTGGTCATCTACGACCTCAAGTTGATGATGCAAACTGTGCCTGGCGTTTGCTGTCATGGAAAGCTATCGGGCAAGAAAAGGCCAGCCGCAGTGGCCGCACACTGGTGCCACTTGAATGGTAGAGATGTGATCAATTTCTAGCTAGAACTCACCTAAAATCAAACCTACAGTTAGAACGTGAAGTCATGTTTTGCATCTTTTCCACTTTCCAACCCCTAACCCCAACCCCCAACCCCAACCCCCATCCCCCACCACCCCTGGACACCTCCAACGCCATCCGCCAGATGCACAGCAAGCGACGGCCACAAGGCGCATCGTCTCCACCGGTGGCAGCCTCCAGGCTGCGTTTCAGCTGTAACCTGGGCATTGGGAAGATCCAATCATTCAAAGATGTGTTCAAAGGACCTTTAGCCTATGAGAAAAAGTTGGATCTGAAATGAGTTTAATATAGTTTAATCTCGCTGATACTGGTTGTTTGATACTGGTTTTACACCATCTTGAAACATTCATCGTCAATGAAGTTTAAGCCCCAAGCCACCATCATTCTGGCTGCTGGCTGATCAAGCGCTTCCCTCGTCCAAGTGGCATGATATGTGCTTCTCTCGCAGAGCATGGGTTGAAGGCAGACCTGCAATAGGCCGAACCATGACGAAACTATGAGACTGACGGACTGTAGCCATCTCAACCATTCAGCCAAAAATAATGAATTTGACTGCTTAAACTGTTACTCACGCCATCCCATCATCCATCAATCAAAAAATCAACTACTATGTATAACTACTAGCCAACTAATTATTTTAGCACCAACCATCCAATCTTCCTTCCATCCACAAGGTCGCCATCCCCCGTCCTGGTCCGCCCCTCTAACGCCATGGCCACACTGCAGGCATAGGTGCTCACAGCATCACCCGAGCGTAGCTCCAGGGAACGCTGAAGCTGCCAAGATTCCTGGCAGCCGCTGCTTGGGGGAAGACCTCTTGTTGATCAATGGCTTGGAATCAATGGATACAGTAGCTTTTGGCTGGAAACCATGGTGTTGTGGTGACGGATTTGATGTGTTTGGTCTAATCGATGCTTTTAGAGGGAACAGTCGTTTCTCTCATCAAGAATGTAGGGGCTCAGTGGTCGCTTAACCCAATTCTAGGCGGTTGAGGTCCTGGATTGGCCTGGGGACGTTATTTCTTCTGTGATCTACAAAGTTTCCACCTGTCCCTGAAACATTTTTCTGACAGCAGTTCACCCCTATCGCGCACGCACTATTATTCAATGTCATTCTCTATTGGAGGATAGGACAACACCATCCCTGCCCTCAAAAGGAATAACAAACTACTTCTACCTCTTTAGCCTTTAGCCTCTCGTGCTTCAGGTATCAATGATTCTTGGCCGCAATTCAACTGGGCAGTGTTCAAAACCCTGTGCCGTTGCTGTATATTTTATACTGGTTGATAGGGATTCTGATCATCTCGGTTAGTATAATTCCCCCTAATATAATCATCAACCAATCAGGGTTTATATAGCAGCCACTGCTCACCTCGACCCTATCTTTTCCTATGGCCTGCTTCACCTGGGCATCTGCCATGGCCAGCGGCTCCACGGCCACAGACTCGGGCATGTCGAATCCAGCAGCGGCGCGACGGAGCCACAAAGCAGGGGACCAGCCTGGCGATGGGGTTCTCCAAAAGTATCAGTGGCTGGTGGGGTCCAAATGACTCGTGGTAAATCCTTTATTCTGATTGATATATCGATCGATCGATCTAAATCCATCTATCGATCTATCCATCTGTCTCTTGTCCATCTACCTCTCTCGGCAGGTAGGTGGAGATGTAAGTGTGGAGGTAGAGTTGTGAAGGTATGTATGTGGGTATGGAGGTAGGGATGCAGGAATGTGGCTGCATATACCCAACGCACTGCCTGGTCAATTGAGCATCTTTAGCGTCTCAAGATTCGTAGCCCTCGTAATCCCAAAATCCATCAAAGTGTGTTCCATCATTCTTCCAGAAAGAATCCATGATGTGGGTGTTTCCATAAATGGGAATACCCAAAATGGATGGTTTATAAGGGAAAATCCATCTATATACAAATGGATGATTTGGGGGTACCCCTATTGTAGGAACCCTCCATGTCTTTTCCCCCAGCCCAGACCCCTAACAACGGCCCACCAGGCCCACCAGGCCTGCCATCTCATGGTGCCACGCCATCTGTTGGCAGATCGCCTCTGCCACGTGTCGACCCACCTCTGTGGCCTCCACCGGCTGCGCTAGGGCCACGTAGATGTCGAAGCGCTTGCAGTTCCCTAAGATGGCCACCTCAGGATGGGGGGCTGTGGGGGTTGGTGAAAACCATGGCTGAAATGGAGGAATTCACCATGAAACATGGGAAGTGTAAAAATCCGAAATCATATGAAGATGGCTGAATCATAATTCATAATGCAAGATTTCACCATCACAAATGGGAAGTATGTAACCCGAAATACTACGACAAATGGCGGCTGAAGCATCAAAAACTGGTGTTCAACGTGATTGAACCATCCTGAAATGTGAGGTTCTTGGCATTGGGCTTACCACACTATCAAAAATGGGGGTTCTACCATCAAAAGGGGTGGTCAAGGAGTCAACATGGTTTCACCATCCTGAAATGGTGATATGTTTGGCCAATACATGCCAACAAATATAGCATCAAATACCTCCTACAGCCAAAATACATAGATCCAGTACTAAACCAAGGTTTTGTTTGGGGGTACCCAATGTTGAAAGTTTAAAATGGATTTGTCTCAGAATGGTGGATCAATTTGCATTTTTTCCAGGCAAAAAAGTCAATAAACTATGGCATTTTTTGTGGGACAACCCCATAATGTATAAAGTATCTCTTCTGTTTCGGAGTCCAACCAGTTTCTGGACATGCTTCGATATATAGAATCGCAGATAGCGAGGTAGAAGCGATTGAAATCTCGTCTCCTACCTTGCAATCATCCCATGAGTGGTTGAGCTGTCCGCATTTCACCTGGTAGTTTGGGATGTGGGGGTTTCCATAAATGGGGGTACCCCAAAATGGATGGTTTATAAGGGAAATCCTATTGAAATGGATGATTTAGGGGTAACCCCATTTATGGAAACCCCCATATATTAAAACTGTGGTGCCTTGGTGAACAACCCTGCAGGATCCTGCAGGATTGCCGCTTGAGGATGTATCACCTACCCATTAGAAATGGCATTTTGGAAAACTTTCCCTTAAACCACCGGGGTCACAATCATCCCCATTAAACCTCCGTTCCATCCCACGGTCCATCATTTTCCCCATTGCCAAACTCCTTGCTTTCGCGATATTGGGGGGTTCTTAATTTTGAACATTTACGACCATGTCATATTTTCCACAATTGGAGGTACCACTACTTGTCATTGCCAGAGTTTTCACCAGCCATGTATTGTATAATTCATCAGGATTTTTTTCATGATCAACCGGTATTTTAGGGATATATATTATATACTTTATACTTTAACAATATTTTCACCATATGTTCACCATATGTTCACCATATTTTCACCATATTTTCACCATGTTACCCTCTAGTAAACTAACGTAGCTATAGAAAATCACCATTTTTAATGGAAAAAATCCACTATAAATGGCCCATTTTCAATAGCTATGTTAAATTACCAGAGGGTAGTGGATCCTCTAAGCGCACCTCCTCCAGCGGCACCGACTTGGAGGCCGTGGAGACGAGCCAGCCGCAGAGCCGCCGCGTGGTCTTGGGCCGCGGGATGAAGAAGTCGTGGCCGTCGCCCAGCAGACGCTCCTTCCAGGCCCAGCACCTCCTGGAGAAGGCTGGGAAAATCCCAGCCGGATGTGGCAAGGGGCTGGAAATCTACCGGAAACTACTGGGTTTTTTATACCCAAAGATCAGGATTTTGGTGGGAACATCATTCGAATTGGGGAATCTGAGGATTAAACACCATGAAGAATGGAGATGTCATTATTAAAATTTGGATTTTGATCATGAAAATTGGAGAAGCACAAAGGAAGATGGATTTGCGCATGGGAAATTTTGGCCTCACCATGAAAAATGTTGGCATTCACCACAAACAGGGATAACTAACACACCAATCTGTGGTTAGCTAAATAAAAAATTGGGACAAGGAAGCCTAAGAAGCTGCAATATGGGGAGTGTCCAAAACTTATGTGTCCAAATTCCACAATCTCATGAGGTCTATTTTAATTTTGAGAATCTTTCAGTCAAGAGCTGGGTGTTTCCTTGCCGGAAAGTCACACACCAACCGGCCATCACAAAAAAAAGGCCTCGTGGCACAGGCCCAAACATCATCTTTGGGTTTGCGCAGCGTCACCTGAAGCTGGATGTCAAATCACGAGGATGTTTGATCATCTGTGTTGCTATACTATATGGCCATATTCGATCCCATTTTGGATAGTTGATATTATAATAATTAAGTCTATCTCCCCATCTTGGATAGTTCTCCCACTTTGGCCAGAAATTTTCGCCATTTTCTCCAAGCACACCCCCTCCACTCCGAGGAAGACACCACGTGCAGCTCATTGCGCGCTTCTTCCGTCCCGAGCCAGCCGTGGGACGGGAAGCACCTGAGGGCGGTTGTAACCATCAGACAGGGTGGGTTTTAACATATGGTGGTTTCCATAAATAGGGGTACCCCAATAGCTGGATGGTTTGAAATGGAAAATCCATGAAAATCCCAAAATAACATGGATGATTTGGAGATACCCCCCACTTTAGGAAACCTCAATATAAAGAGGGTTCAACTGTGAAAAGGGTGATGCAGCCAGGATGGTTCGGGCTTCTCAACTACCAGCCCACTCACCTTTGGGTTGGCTGAATCCCCATGATAAGACTGATGATTTGGCTGAACTTTGGGACAAACCCTGGTTGATGTACTGAAAAAGTCTGAGTCACGATGACTTTGGGTCTCTTCAAATGCGCCAAATCAAAGTTGCGGAGTCCCCAAAGTCCACAAGTCCACAAGCCACCCTGGCAGCCCAGTGGCCCAAAGGTGCAAAGGGCCAAGGTTGCTCTCTTGGCAACCGGCCATGATAGAGGAGATCCTGTCACACAATCAGTTGAGCATGGCTTTAGATCCTCTAGTAGTCTCGCGGTTTGCAAACTGGAAAACCAGCGCTGTTAGTATATAGGTATATACGCTGTTGGTACCCCATTCTTGAGCCATCCGGCACCCCTGAAAGCTCAAAACTTTCACCACCCCCTGTTTCATTACATGAACTCATTGCTCGAGTGAGAAGCTCCACATGTCAAGGACTAAGATATTGTGTTCATCCCATTTTTTTCAGCAACATATTCAATAAATCCTGTAAGGCCACTGCTTGCTCGAAGCCCCCAGCCCATAGCCTCTCTTTGCTCTGGACCCACTGCCCTCTCTCATGACTATCGGCTGCTTCTGCCGCGATCAGCTGCCATCAGATAAAACCAAAAAGCGTAGGCCAAAGTTGCGACGTCATATCAATGTCACGTCATGTCATGCATTATTGTAATATAATATCATGATATATCATGTCATGAATGTCTTGTTGTGTTGTGTTGGGTGGTGTCATTGTTGTGTCAGTTCTGTTGCTTCCGAACACCAGTTTCAAAAGCCCCAGCAGGTTCATAGAATCATAGAATCATAGGGCTCATACTCAATATGCATGGAATTATTCCAGTCATTGTGATCCATCATGTTTTTCTACCAGTCCAAGGGAATTTCCCATGACTTCATGGATGTCTGGGCTCGTTGCCATGCGAGATGCTTCCAAGCTGTCGGGAGGCCCAGAAAATGTCCCAAAGACATTTAAAAAGCAGTATCATTCAGAGCCATCCTCTCAGCGACATGTTTTTTCCTACACCTTCGGATGGTTTTAGATTTGAGTGAGATGTATTTTTCGGCAGCTCATCCCTCCAATGTCTCCTAGCCATCGGTTGGGGAGAACTGGAGACCACCTCGTCCACCCCCATTTGGCTCCCGCACAGTTTGTTGCTGTAAATCTGCCTTGGATTCCACCAACAGCCTCGTCAGTTCAGGGGAGCATCACCAGGACGTGCTCCGATGTGGAGATTCAGTGGTATCCAGTGGTATCCAGTATCAGTATCAACATCAGGACATATAGCCCCTCTGTGCATCAGTGTAGGATAGTGTAGGCATAACAGTCAGATCCCATATGCGGTTGGTTGTTGAATAGCCATAGGACCAGTTGATCACTGAGACTTGACAAGCCTGTCATGGACCCAAACGATGTCTTCGCGCCTGATGACTTCAGACTTCCTTGCCCTCACTGCCAAGTGCAATGGGGAGAAGCCCAGCTTATCCTTCCAAGTGGCTGACGGCATATGTTGTCACACAGCAGTACACCTGCGAAATTGAACAGGGCTGAAAATATCAGAAGATTAGGATAGTTAGTAGTTAGTACCAAAGATGACCAAAATCTAGCAGAGTCAGTTGTTTTCTGGATCTCTAAATTTTGACCAACTACCCCAAATGGACGTTGCAACATCATCCCCTCCTTCCGATTGATGTCTGCTCCCGCCAGCAGGGCACGTTTGGACATCTCCAAATCACCCATATGTGCGGCCTGCGTGAGGACACAGGGCTAGAAGGTCGGCAATGGATGTGGAAAAGGGAAACTCCGAGCAAAACATGTCTGTCCGATGTGGATTTCTCTTCACTGTAGCGGAGTACTGTATGTCTCACATATGGTGTGCCAAGTGTTCAAGGGCAATTGACGCTTGACCCATCTTGACCCGGGCCTCATGCAGAAAGGTGCGCCCTTCGCCCCACTGCCTTGGCGCTGTCGATGCCATGCTGGCAGAACCAACATCCACCGCTCTGTCGCTTGTCTTCGAGGCTGCAACAGATTCCCCAGATTCACATCAGCACGAGCCTCTCGGACAGGTTGCTTGAGATCTGTGAGATGTAAAAAGGCTCCAGAGACGATGTTGCCATGCCAACTTTCCGAATCCTCCAGATGCTCACACTGCGGAGCCTTTAAGAGTGGCTTGAGTTGGTAGTGACACAACAGTTTGATGTCTATAGTCTATAGTCCAAAGCACTTGCGTGTTTCGTCAAGACAGTTTGACTCAGAATTACTCCTGGAATTCCACTGCCCAAAGAAAGGCCTCGAGAAGGCTATCCACCGTCTCAAGATGCCTCAACTGTGGCACAACAGTGCATCGTCGAAGCCACGTCAATGGGTCTTAGTAGTCAAATGGAGTGAAATCCATAGTTCATAAGCATTGAGTTCACCACACCCTCGAGAGGTTTTCCGCCTGGGCTCAATTTGTGTGGAGATATGGGTCAACATCTTGGAATGTCCGCAGAAAACTCAGAAAACACAAGAATGATTAGCCCAAACTAAAACCCATCCACTGGTATTGGCCGGGTCCCAACCTTGACCCCCGCCCCATCCAAATGATCCTCCAGAAACCTGCCTTCAGCATCACTCCCTCCTGATTCCCCTCAATGAGCACGGGCCACCGCAAGACAGACCTGCAAGACAAAGTAGTGGAGGACACGGCTGACATGTGGATACAAGGGAATGTCTTGAGAAAACAATCTGATGTTCCTTCCCAGCTGGTGCAAACTTCTATCACTTCTAGTGTGATCTTGTTGCTCACTATGAAATTTGCAGAAATCGAAGAGCTATTGCAGTTTGTCCAGTTTCCATTCTTCGCCATCAGCTCCTTCTGCCGCTGGAAAAAAACTGTTGGACCCTTCCAGCCAGTCACCCCCCTGGCCTCTCCGTTGAGGGAACCGATGGCCCAATGACGCTACCCAGGCGCCCGTTCCATGCAGCCTTGCTCTGCAGTCCATCCACGCGAACGCCGCAGGCCACCTGGCTGGTGAGCGCTGTGAAGCACCTGGCTTTCTCACCCGCAAAACGCCATTGCTTCAAAACTCAGGGTTCCTTGTGAAAAATTGCCATACGTAACTTTATATGTGATATGTATAGTATATATATATGAATTGAGGTTATCCCCATTCTCAAACATGAGGCACCCACCTCCATGTCACTTTCCTCGCTCGCTGCAAGGCAGAGGTGAAGCCTTGGGTCCGAGGGAGCTGTTGGGCAAGTCTGGCAAAATCTGAAGGAAAGAATGGATATATTTCCAGATGATCAAAGCATGGTATTGCAACCTGGGTAAGTTTTTTGGGAGAATCTACGAGACCATAATTACAGTAGCACAACAGAACTACCAAGTCAACTCAGCCCCATTCCACATGTAATTCACAAGATCAAGATCTGTCAAAATTCCAAAAGTCGGACCCCCAAGAGGTCTGCCTTTTTGTTAGGGAAACACCTTGGGGATGAGTGCCCCATTCGGCCACGCCCACCACCCTGAGCCCAGCCACGGAGTCATCTGCTGCGAATCCACCGCGTTTACGGAGGCCCTTGCCTGTGGTCATCAGATCACTTTGGAGGTCCCAGCTTTCACAAAAATCCCTGTAGCATTGTACCAGCCATAGAACTTCTGAAGGACTTTGAGTCTTGAAATCGGAATGTACATTGGTCTGACATGATAGGTTCAGTCTAATGTATGCTTCACTCAAATCAAATGCTATGAAGAACAGCAAGCTTTTGTCAGGATTGCAACATCCAAGCATGTGTTCGGCCCTACTTATAAATTTCAGGCCCTTGCTGCATGGCGCCATAAAGATTGCGATCCGCACAGCTAGGCACAGCCCGGCGGAGCGTGCGCTAAATGCAGATCGATGGGAGCTGCTGTGCAAGAGCTGTGCGGCGACAACCCAGTCGCGCACAAGCTCAGGAAACAGTGCACAGCAAGCTGAAGCCAATCCCTGACCCTCCAGTCTATTATATACATATATATATATATTATACGTATACATATATATACATATATATATACATAGACATACATAGACATGTACAACTTAGTAAGTATCAATTCTTGGAAGCAAGGACTTGGGCTTGACAAAATCATTCAAGATCTGACCTAGGGCGTCAGAGGCGGTTCCGTATCAGGAAAGGTCTGCCTGTCTCCACCTTGCCCCGGCTTCTTCAACCCGCGACGGACCACTGCCTTCTGCCGTGATCCTTTGCTCCACATTGGTGGTGGGAGCAGACATCCAGCCACCGGAAGGTCTGGCGTGAAGCTGATCTTCAGCACGATGGTTGGCTCAAGCAGCCATTTGACTGAAGTGAGCTTGGCTGGCGTACCGTCCACAATCACCTCGCCACCTTCTTCCAGATCTCTGGCCTGTACTGTTTTGTTTCCAGGGATCAAAATGCGGTGATCTGGGCTGACAACCAAGCACGATGGACCAGCTTGGAGTCTGATGATAGCTTCAACTTGATGCTGTTCCGGTGGACGGAGTACTTCGATCGCTGTGCCATTGGCTGATAGGACTTGAGCTCCCTGAAACAGACTCTGCACAGCTATCATCTCGTGACCAACATCTGTGACCTTCTTGAGGAAAGTGCCCGGCAAGAAGCAGCACGGTTCGTCAGCCACGTGCGTCCAAGATTCCAGAGTACAATCGGAAGAGGAATCCTCTGCTCCTTGCACATCAATTGCAGTGGCCAGCTGAGTCATCCTGGTGCTGACATCTGCCATCATTTTGTTTAAGTTGTCTAACATTTGCTCAACATTCTCTTTCCGAACGTCAATCAAAAGTCGCTCTCGGGAATCTTTTAGTAGATCACTGCTTCTCGGTTCCCTCAGACACCGGATGATCACTGTTATCAGGTACATTGAACCGGCAATCATCGCCACAATGATCAGTGACCGTGATTCGTTTGCCGTTGGAGGATCACCCTTCCACTCCGACCATACTTTGAGGAATTTCTGACTACGCATCCCGGAGTCGCAATGTGCCATCCTGATGGTTTGATCTGATGAGTCCAGTTCCAAGCAACTTGCGGCATTATATGATGGCCATTCGTTCTTTATTGTAAGGTCAACATCGTTCACCTTCCACCTCTGATTCCTTCCTTCGTGACAGACCTGCATGGTGACAATACCATCAATGAGGTCGTATTCCAAACACCTTCTATCAGCAAGTCCGACAATGCGTAAACTATCATCATGAACCCACAGTTGAGCTGGACCAATCTCTTGGCCGCCACAAGAACTGGCTCCCGCAGAGTTAGGCCCTTCGGGAGCCATGCACAATCGCTCTTGCAAATTGACCAATGAGAAAATGCCAGCAGTGGGCTCCTCTGTGAGGATACAAGAGGGCAGCAAAATGGTTGAGAGGACCAAAAGGCGCACCGCCATGTCGATTCGGGTTTTCCTTTACACCACAAGAGAAACTGTGCTTTGTGCCTCGTCAGAAAACTGCAGAGTCATTGATCTCATGTAGAAGGAAACACGCCAGCCTTTGTTTGAGAAGATTGGAAGATTCGGGGTCCACTGGGTCCACGATTTGCATATTACTTCCTCTAAGCCTGGAGAATTCCTTCCAAATCTAACCATGCGCACCTCCAGCAAAAGCTTCACCGGGCTGCAGTTACTTTGCCTTAGCGACTGTAACAGAAAGGTCGGGTATCACGCAGTTTGATGTCAATGGCTTGCTATTTACATCTTTATCTGGAAACACAGGAAAACAGATTTATTCGACTTTGCACGGACCCAGAGGCACAGGAATTAGAAGAGTCCATGGACTGTTGCCTCCGTCAGTTCTTCTGCATGTAAAACATCTTTTGCTCCAAACTCCGCACCTCATTTTCTTTTCTTGCAACGCATCCCAAGCTCACAATTTCCCCATTGAAACCGAAAGAGTCTGGCCACGGGCTGCAGGACACACAGTCCCCAGCGACCAGACCACAGAAGGCACGACCCCTGATTCAATGCCTCCCTACCCAGCTGCAGCTACAGGCCGTGGTGTTCGATGTTTCGGGTGGCGAAAGCCCTCATCCTGGAGATCACGGTCTCCTTTCCTGAATTCTTGGAGGGTCTGGACAGTGTTCGGGCAACCACATTGGAAGATTTGATTGCTGAATTGGGCGGCATTTTCCTGGATTTTTTGGAAGTATGATGGATAAGGATAAGGTGTTCAAATTTGAAACATTGACAATTTTCAAGTACTGATATGGTAGCAAGAGTTGAGCACCAAATTTGGCTTGCGGGGTAACTTCAAGTGATGATTCCTTCGCCACCTATCATATCACAACAACTTCATCACAAGCATCACAAGAAATGCCACCAAACTAACTTCCAGGTCAAGTCTCCCGTCATCTTTGGGTACATCGAGGTCATCCCCATGCGATTCCACATCTTCTCCAAGTCCTTGTGCGTGTGGCGCAGGGCCAGGAGCCAACGTCCGACTTCAACACGGATCTCATCTGCTCCAGCTGCCCTTTGGAGACGGTGGCACGGCAACCTGACCGGGATTCAGATTGATCAATTTCATCAGTTGAAGAAGTTGCTCTTTGGGAGCTGAAACGGCCAAGTGGACCTTCCATCTCATTCAAATCCCACAATCACAACTCGTGCTTTTCCTACATGGATCAGATATACAATACATCCAGGCATGGGGTACCATCAATTACCATCATGTACCCTCCTTTCCTTGTCGCAGCACCTCGTTTCGGAGCCTTCTCGGACACTTGCGCCGTGGAGCTCTTGCGCTTGTCCCCCAGACTGGCGCGCTCGATGCGATTCACCAAGGTCGCTTTGGAGGTGCGCGGAGGTGGCAGGCGACCCGTGAGGTCCTCCACCATCTTGCCCAGCTCAGCGTTGGTCCTCAAAATGCGGGGAAAAAAAAAAACGGCACCATAGAATGCCATAGAAATGGCCGGAAATTGAGATTTCAAAGGCACTGAAACCTAGCAAATAAAAGAAATCATTGAAATTTGGAAGGACAGTTCTGTGAGAACCGGTTTCAACTCCACTTCACGCTGAAGTAGCACATCAACAAAAAAAACAAGCAAGACTTTTGCGCTGAGCATCTGATTGTACAAATCACTTGGAAGTTCTCCACCATGCTGTTCCTTGATGCGATCAATGGCCCGTTGCTGCTGCACATTGGCTGGATCCGTGGGACGCCACCCTCAGCCTCCAAGACGGACATCATCCACGGCTCCATGGCGGCGCAGATGGAGGGACCAACGGGGACCAACGTCTGAGCTAAACGCTGCCAGGAGATGAGGACATCAAAGGAGATGGCTTGGAAGGTCAGGGATAAACTGTTGCAGCTCCTGCCATTCGATGTGGAGTCCACAACTTCAGGAAATAGCACAGAAGTCCAATCTTGTTCCTGTGATATATTGAATATCTTACTTCACAGGACACCGCGCGCTGCCGCATAGTGAAGTGCCGTGCGGTGCTGGTCAGGCGTCTCCTGAGGGATTTGAAGTAGCATCAAGCTGACGGGTGGTCCCATATCCTTGCTACCGTACTTGCTACCCTCCAATGCACAGAGATAGGCTTTGATTGATCAGCGAAATTGGTGAAGTAATATGGTATGACCAACAAGAAAAGGACTTCGCCAACAGAAACGCATCACGCTGGATTGTAGTAAGCATTTTCTCCATTAAGAAAGTTGGTATGGCCATGTATGACATTACAATCAGGCATCAAGATTGAACAATATGGGCATTGTAACCTGCAGTGTCCTTTTTCAATCATAGGGGGCCAGCTCGGCATACTATAAATCCCATCATCTGCCCCGGTGAGGTTAACCTCTCCGCAGTCGGAAAGGGACATCCTTACTATTCTCATTGGGATCAACTGAATTGAGTAGCGATTATGGCCCTGAATCAGTTCGTGTCGATGAATCACCATTGGCACTGCGATTGTGGTCTTCCAATTAATTGATACCCTCTGGTTATGTCAAAATAGCTATTGAAAATGGCCATTTATAGTGAGTTTTCCCATCAAACCTGGTGATTTTCCATAGCTATGTTAGTTTACCAGAGGGTAAGCATCTTGATTGAACCCAAAGATGATGGGAAGACATTTCGAGAGGAATTCATCAAAACAGTAATGGGAACTTGAATCAACAAGCGTGAGGGACCTAAGCAATATATACTGATGAGTAAATCAGGCAAAGGCTCTTCAGAAATTGAATTTACCAAATCTGATGGGGGTATACAGTTCTTGTACTGTCCCTAGGTGGTTGTATGCTAACAAATGAAATGAAATAGTGGTCGGCCAATTTCAGGCTGAATTATCATAGGTAGGGATGCAAAGGTAGTGAATATGTACTGTAAAACCATCACCCAAACATGAAGGTGCCACTTTACGTTGGGAACTTGCTATCGAGAATTGGAAATAAAAACTGCTGAACACACCATGCATTCAACCTGTCAGTTGGGGGCACCAACCAATCCAAGGTCCTGCTCTTTGCTGGCGTAGCGGGGGTCACGATCCATATCCGCGTCTTGTATGTTCACGTTTGCCTCATGTTCCGGGATCGCACGAGTGCTGGAATAAAACAAAATTGTCAAGGAGTAAACTTGTAAGGATGCTTTGTGATCTTATCTTAATCTTCTGCAGTATCTCAAGAAACTGCTAGGATCCAACAAAGCTATTCGGCTCCAGCTCTACATATTCTACTAGCCTACTAGCTGCAAAAAAGATGCTTTCGTGGGATCATCTGTATCTGAATGTCGAAATTGTCAACCAGCATTATAAGTGAGACTGCAGGTTGATACACACGGGCCAGAAAACTATGAATCTGGTCCAACAATAGTGAAAACAACAAACAAATAACCCACAAGATGTGCATCATGTTTGCGCAGAATCTCTCTTTTCCCTGCGCCTCTGCATTGAGAAGCAGCTTGACTGTCCTGCGGTTGGAGGAACTGTGCGGCAACAGCACCTTTGAAAACTAGACCCAACTGCCGCCCTGATGGTCGAGCTCGAAACATCCATGGTCAAATCATGGTGCCCCCAGTTATCCGCCTGGAATGGTCCTCATCTTTTGGCAGTGAAACCAAGGATTCATGTTCCCTTCCCTGTCACTGCACAAATATTCCTCACGTCTCCACTAAGCGTTGCCAGATGCAATGCGCTTCGGCGCCTGTCAAAGGGCGACAGCTGTCGCCAAGAAATTGGAACCTCCAGACTGCTATCTTGGAAAGGCTGATAACATGGGGATTTTGGGAAAAATGTGGACAAATTGAAATTTGATGCTGCCACTGCGTGTTTCGCTGCTTCCCAAATGACTGGCTGGCTGAGTGTCGGAACTCATTGGTGTCGGCATTCACATCAGACCTGCGGCCAACTCAAACGAAGGAAATGTGATCCAATTGTTCGATCCCACTCAACCATCGACCGATTTACCCATGTCTCAGTCTTAGACTCGCCACGATCAAAAATTGTTTCCCCTTGAGCACCCAATTTTGGTGATTCACAGAATTGGGGTATCCCAAAAATTACAAAAATCGGATGATTTGGAGGTATCACATTTCAAGGAATCTCAATTTTCTTACCTATCAGCCTCAATAAAAACCCTTCAGCATCTGCCTGGCTTCCAGCAGTGCCTGAAGACCTTCAGGCCAGCTATATATACAGGCCACATGCAGGGCAGTCCTCAGCTGAAAGATCCTCACTTGCGGGAAGTAGTCCAGAAGTGTCAAGAAAACATCATGTGGATCATCAAAAGAGACTCTCCAATTGTTGAAAAACGCGATAAATCAAAACTGCCAAGAACAGACAAGAACAAAGACTACTCCAGATTTTGGTTGGCCAGGCCGAGCATTCTTCGCTGTTTCTATTGCAGCCAAATGGCTCTCCCTGAGGATTTGCTGTGTCCTGCCAAAGAAGCGCTGCAGGCCCACAAGCGCATCAAGTGGTTTGAACCCCAGCCCAAAAATACTAGTTACTAGCTAAAAGCTGGTTCTCATGATAGTCTTCCCCCTTCACAAAAGTGCATAAATACCTTTTCCCAACCCAGAATAAAAGCCATAAGATTCAGGCTGCAGGATCGTTAGACAAGATCTTTCTGAAGAAATCCCCACCACCCACCACTTCTGTTGCAACCAGGTCCAGCGTCAAAGTCAGAGCACCACCGCGGATCTGCCTCAGAGATCGAAGGTTTTGATCAGCAGCTGCCATTCAGTTCCTTCCAGTTACCCTCAGTAAAAACCTACCTAGACCCTGCCATCAATCAGGGGGTTGGAAGATTAGTTTCCACTAAAAATTGACCGTTTTCAATGTCTGAGGGTAACACACTATGTAACTTTCGATCACTGCAAGGATGGGGACTTCACTGGATGCGGATAACTTCAATATCGAGGGAAAAATACAGATGTACCGTTCAATACTTGGGGGAGATCACCATCAAGCAATCAAAAACATGGCGGGTATGGCTCAAACCTCGGGTATCAATGGATCCACAGAAATAAATGGCTGGAAAATCTTTGCATTGAACCATCCAGTTCCATTTATGACCCATACCCGCCATACCCCTACAAATTGTGGGGTAAATAAGGTAAATAGCCCATAAGTCTCCGCCCCTTGGTAGGTCGGACGCGATCAGCTGTTTCAGGGTGTTGATCTGCCGTTCGCCTGCGGCCTCATGGAAGTGACGATCAAATCTGATCAAAGTTTGACGGCAGGTTTTTGGGTATCAGAATGCATCAGATATGGGTGTGTCTGAAAATAGGGTATATTCCCAATGAAATAGCCATTTTTCATAGGGATAATGATCAGCAAAACCATTGGGGGTACACCCATATGTTGAAAAAAAAACCTCTACCAGATGTAGCTGACCTTGTGAAGCAGCAGTGGTTGGGCTCCAAGAGCAATTCGAACCACCTGCCGCAGTTTCTCTTTGGGAAAGGAATGGATTTTTGCAACCGAAAAACCCGTGGACATGCGAAGATCAATTTTGTGACTGTGAAATGTTGATACTTTTAATATACTTGTACCATCTTTTGCCTGCTCTACCTATATTGCTCTGCTGTTTTCAGTCCACTTGGTAAGCTGGTTCCAGCATCCATTCCAGGGGTCCATTGGTCCATCATCCATTGCCGGACTCCCATGGACGCCTCGTCACTGGCCATATCTATGGGTCGATCCCCTCCCAAGTCTGGACGTGCCGGATCCTTGGTGGAACGCTGATCTTGTTCTCGATGATTTCTTTTCGAAACACACCTTGAGAATCATGACTCATGACCATCTTCTTGATCATGATCATAATTCATGTTCATGTTCATATTCAGATTTATCATCATCATCTACAAACTACAACACAGAAAGACAGTTTCTGAGGAGAAAAGGAAACACCACCCTTTACCCTGAGTATCTGACACCCTTCGCCTTCACGATCAGCTTCACGCACTCGGCACGCTTTTCCACCGGCCCCTTGGACATCGGAAAGGGTTTGCATCTATGGCGCTTCCCCAATCCACTGTATACATTCATGAAGAGATAGCAACCCCCTCAATAAGATGCAGAACTCCGCGGGAGAATTTGCCACTATTAATTGATAGACATGTTCACAGGGGCAAATTCATAGTTAATTGATAGTTTATTGCCCTAACTATTATCCACTATTATCCACTGTTATCCACTACTATCCACTATTATCCACTATTATCCACTGTTACCCACTATTATCCACTATTATCCACTACTATCCACTATTGTATAGGGATTTCAACAATTCACATTTCTGCATCCTTTTGAGGCTTGGGCTCTCCCCAGCACGGCCGCATGCAACGGAGTGGATCCACGGAGCCTCAAAAAAGGCCCTGGTTGAAGTCGCTCTACAAAGAGATGGGGTGTAGGACTCCGGTCACAAAATGGAGGAACTAACCCACCAAAATGGGGATTCAATGGATTTAATCCACTAACATTGGGATTTCACCATGAAACATGAGGATTTGGCCAGCAGAAATGGAGAATTTAAGCAGCCAAGAGGGCGATTTGATCAAGAAGTGGACATATAAGCGCAACAAGGAATGGAGGATTTAACCATCTAAAATCTGTTCAATATGTTCAATATACGAAGAAATTTGCATTCTCTGGTGGAGTGTCCCCCACTGCACCTGTTGGCCGCGTTGGGATCCGCGAGGGCGTAAAGCAAGGCCTTGCAAAAGAAGTGGTCCCATAGGTATTGACTTAGACCCCAGAAAGAAGAAACACATCAAAAGCGTCCCAATGTTCATGAGTGAAAGCAACGATTGCAGTATCCAGTATACCCCAGCTGAATTGAGGCATACAATATGCATTCTCATACTATCTGGTTCAAACATGTTCAGACTGCTTGGATCGGGCATCACTCTCAATAGGACTCCTTGGAACGGGTGTACAAGACCCCACTCATCACTGGGATTCTGGGAACATCAACATGACACACATTGTCTAGACTCTAGATGATGAAGTGAGCAACATCAAGAAGCAAGTCGTGAGACAATCCAAATTCAGACAAACACCAACTACGGGATTCAGACAATCGCCTTGCATGCTTCGACGCTGCCCCACATGGTGGCAATGTGCAGCGGTGTCTGCCCCACCCTGTCATCACATCGCGGAGTTCGGTTTCTGAAACCTGACTTTCCACAAAGTTTACAGTCTGCTTAGCTTTCCTACCCAGATTTCTCTATGTGCATCTCGCATACAAAAACATGGAACCGGGTCAGTGTAACTCGTCCGGTTTCGCCATGTTTTTCCCATCTCTGCCATGGCGCTCATGCTAGCGCTGGCACAGTTTCTTGGTGGATCAAGCCATCACGACCCGTTGATCCCACCTGTTGCAGTAGCTTGGGGGCGCCCCCCGTTCCAATAGCTCCACGATGCCAGCAGCATTGTTGTCTCGCGCTAAAGTCCTCGAGCCACTGCCCGGCGGAGTGCAACACAAAGCAGGTGTTTCAAGACTTTGGATTGCCCAAGTTGTATCCTGACCTTCCCCTTTGCACAACTTCTAGGGTTGCTATTATTCGCTCATCATACATCAACCCTGTTATCTTCACCCTTTACAGGCGTGTGCTGCTAAACCAATCAATAGGTGCTGTAAAACTTGTGGCGACTCAGCCCAGCCCTCTAGGACTCCCTGCAATATGGCATCCCACGCAACCACCCTCGCGACAGAGCGGCAGAGGCTGGAATTCAACAACGGATGTCTCCTGCGTCCTGAATGGATATGGATAGGTGAAACAGTGCCTATATATATATATTTACTTACTTATCTATCTATTTATTATATTTATGTATTCATTTATTCATTTATTCATTAACTTATTTATTCATTTATTTATTTATTTATCTATTTATCTATTTATGTATATATATATATATGGCCTGGTTGGGATTCAAACAAAAATCTAGCCTTGGGCAGTTGCTCGAAAATCCGAATATGCAGCATCCTGCTGATTTGGTTTCTCATTTATGGCCACATAAGAAGGGCAGAAATTTCATGTTAGACCACTGGAGTTTGGGTCCCCTCACCCAGGCGGTGCAGCAGAGTTCCTCAGGCATCATAGGATTCTCGGGCGATATCTGGGGGATCCCTTTGGAAATGTCGAATCAAAATCCCTTTGGAAATATCTATGGTATTCTATGGTTCTTAGTCTTATTTCCTGATTCTTGGGGCTCTCCAATTTCGACGTGCTAAGATTCGGAGCATGGAGATCCGTAACATCACCGCTGGACCCTGAGATTCTTCATGGGCTTTGGGGTGACACCAGTCGATGCGGACACCAGTGGATCCTGCTCAGCTACCAAGCACCAAGCACCAATTCACATCTTCTGCTGACAAGGCTCTGCTGATACATTGCGCTAGTGGCTGGCACCGGAGCTCTCAACAAACATCCAATGTAGGACATCATGGTCTGTTTCTGTCGTGCTTTCTACGTGAAACTAGACAACAACTGACAGTTCAGAATCATGTTTAGGATAAATGAGTCATGAGCGTAAAGAAGTCTGGAGGATGCTGACATATGCCCCTCGGCAACTACATTTTGTTGTGGCCCTAAATCTCACCACCTGGTGTTGCTGCAAGGCAGAGTAGGCGCTGGTTTCATAAATGGCACATGGATGATCCTTGGATGATCCACCTGGCATGGTGAAACCATTTGATCTCTAGCGACAACGCCCATTGGAAAGTCATCCTCCCGTTTTTTGGAGCTGCAACGGCGCGCTCCGGATGCAAGAGCTGCTCTACTTGGTGCCCCTCAAAAAGGCTTCATCCCGGTAGTGCTTCAGCTGTTCTTTCACATTGCCCAAGGCAAAACCTGCTGCGAAGCTTTCCATTTTGTGACCTTTCTGGATTCTCCTGGTCAGCAAGAAAACTCGATATACCCTTCAAGACTAGAAACAAAAGATTCGCCTGCTTACCTTTTGTATGAACCATCCAACTTTGTGTCTACCCAATTGTGGCCCTTATCCGCATCTTTTCCAAGGATGAAAACCCCACTGCTATTTTTGTTCAATACAAGTTTCATTCTATGCAGGTTATGGTATCTCTGAATCTCCCATTGTTGATCCATCCCCATACCTTGAGCTATTCAACCATCAACTCCTTCCAAAGCGAAAATTCGGACGGTGATTCTGGGATACGCGGAAGGGCACCGAAAAGACGACCAAGTCTTAGACGGTCGACGTCAACCGTGCCGCCACAATGGCATGGCACGTTGGGGTCGTTGAAGGATCTCAAGAGGATCTTGACATTTGGAAGCTGATGTGATTGCTGGTTGAGCCATCTCAGAAGTACATCTATTCATTGCGGAGGATCCATCTTTGGAATGGCAAGAAATAATGTGAAACATTCTGAAATCAACCAGTCGCAGTCGAGTGCAAAGAGCTTAATGATCCTGGTGTCCACATCACCGCTTTCCCATTGAGTATGGAGCGGTATCCCAATTAACCAACACCCCACAGAGTATTTGGGACCTTTGCAGCTTCTGTTGTATTGAGGCACGCATCAATACGCGTCATGTGCAATGTCGGCTCCATCACTTCCAGAGACCATGACCCCTCACCTCTCTGAGGGCAAATCCAACGCTAACAAACTTGCCGACACTTATTGTGTCATCGATGCTCAGACGACCTGTTTCCACAGCAAACACTGACCTTCTACATGGCAACAAAGTTCTGAGAGAAGACAGACTCTCAGCATGTCGCGTGGTTCACATTGCTGTGACCAGTGACAAAGAAAATGTATGGATCAAACTTTGAGGCCCTGGGAGCACAGAGATTTAGATTTTTTTTAGGCGGACCAAAATAATTAAACCACCCCATCTTATGTACCAGGTGGCCCACATCTGTAAGGAGCAAACTGGTAGTTGACAACTGCCTTAAAGGATGAACCCCCCAAAATCGCACAGTTCATCAGCATCTTCCGAACAAACATTGCCATAAATTGAAGTATAGATCTTACTGAGGATGATCAGGACAGAATGGTCTGAGCATCACACGCATCTGGCTGTTCACTCCTCTTCCGTCACTTTGCCTCCCACAAAAGGGTACGATGACCACGGGCAGGTTTCATCAGTTTCACTTTGCCATGGCCGGTTCCAAAGATTCTTCCAGATCCTGGGCCCTCCCATATATAGTTTCGTGGACCTAGGAACCATGAATCTTCTCAAATCACATACTTTGTCCCAAAAACTGCTACTTTTTCAGGAAATCAGGTTAGTTTTCATTTCTTTTGCAGGAAATCAGGTGGTTTTTCATAGTTTTTCGCCTTGCAAACTCCACAACGCCGCCACCAAATCCCCACATTCGGTTCGCTGGGTGCCCCGTGCCCCACGCGGGTTGTGGCAAATCACCTTAGGCGCCCTCAACTCCGGTGCGGGGCGCATGTTGGCCACCATCCTCAGCACAAAATGGGAAAATTTTAATCATATATATATATGGGGAATAGATATCATCCCAACAATGGTTTCTAATATCTCATCAACTTCAGTGAAATTATCCTTTTAATCATCTAACAAAATGGGAATTGCGGAATAGATATCATTGGATGAATTATTGGGCAATGAATTCTGGGATTAATCATCTATATATATATATATATTTATATACATGGGAATAGACGATGAAAATGGTGAATCAAAAAATGGGAAATTGATCCTTTTTTCCTGGGGAAACCTTGGGAAACATTGGAAATTCCCATCAAAAAACGGTGATGAATTATAATGTTTCACCACCCCAAGGAGAAACGTTGACCACTTTGGGATCGTTGCCCCTCACGGTTGAACCATCATTGACGTTGCAGAGAGGTCCTATGTTCTTTCCAGATAGATTGTTATGACTATGTCATGTTTTTGTTGATCAAGAAAACCAACAAGTATGCATCGCTCACAACCAACAGGCACATTGTTTGGCGATTAGGACCTCATTTTTGGTGGTTGGTCTGATATTGATCTGGTTATCATTACCATTTCTGAGGGGAAACGGGTTAGGATGAAGGGAAGAAAAGGCCAGAAACCTTCTTATCTGATTTGATTTTTTAAGTGATCTGCTAAATGTCCCTCTAACAAAAAGTGCATTGCCTCTCAATTCCGACTTGGTGAAGGGTCACAGAAAGATTGGAGCACAAAAAAAATGGTTTCATATTACATTTGTATATATATATATATATTATACAATATACACATGTGTATATCCTATTATATATTAGTTACATCCGTTACTACCCATGAATCATATCCATATCAAATGGTTGGACAAATCCATACTAAATCATACTAATCACAAGAACAGGTCTTGGCTCCCGGTTGCGTCAAGGTTCTGGTCGAGCGCTTTCCTTTGGAGCTCGTTTTTTCGCATGTCCATCACCTGCCAGCTACACACCCGCAAAGGCTATGGCTAAAAAGAGGTACCAATAGACCCAATTGATTGTGTCATTTATTCCTACTCCAATCTTCAACAATCCAATTTCGAGGATTAACAATTTTATGCTGTGGCTGTCACCACACCTTTTTTTGTCGGTACAAAGGCAAGTTGCTGTGAGGGATTTTTTCAGCTGCCCAGCGGATTGCTCTGGCCTGTTGGTAGGCTTGCTTGCACTCAGCATCTGCCTCCATTCGTTCCTTGAAACCCAACCTGGACAGCACTGATTCCATGAAACAACCCTGTTGCCTCTGCTGGAAGGGATATATACATACATTACATTACATTACATTACATTACATTACATTACATTACATTACATTACATTACATTACATTACATACATATATATATACATATTATATACATATAGTAAACCCGGAAAAAAAAAATGATATATAATTTACTTTCTTGTCTTTTCGTGGGGTGCTAAAACTTGAACAAGTAGCCGTAGCCAGACTTTTTGGATACACAACAAGTACTGTGGTAAACCCAGTAATAAACCATCCTCAATGTATTCAAAAATGAGTGGTATAAATTATACCCAACCGGTAGGTTTATTGGGTTTACCACATGATTCAAGTTCTTCAAAGAAAATGATATGGAATCCAGCAGAAACTGCTATTCCTCAGGCTGCCAAACGTACAGCGTTTGCGCCGCGCATCAGTCAACTGCCTCAGGTCTCAACCCACGACGGTCTTGATACCCCGTAACGACCTGAAACCCCAAATAGATGGAAATGGAGGGAACCATATAGGAACCTTCAGTTTACTGGCTTTACATGGTTTTACTATCTTTCTCTGGGTCATCATTTTTTAAGGAACATGAACAAATATGGGCCGAAAGTGGCCCAACACCGCATATCCAATGTGAATGATCCAGCTTTTGGCCATGGCCCAAGTGAAATTGGAAAATGAAACGAAGGTCACCAGCGTTGGACCACGGAAATTGCCCAAGAAATATGGGTTTGTCTGATAAAATACCCATGCATCCACTGGATACCCTCTGGTAATTTAACATAGCTATGGGAAAATCACCATTTTCAATGGGAAAATCCACTATAAATGGCCATTTTCAATAGCTATGTTAGTTTACCAGAGGGTAACAAACATGTTCCCACTAAAATGGCAGATTTTTCCAAGGCCGGGATCAAAACCTGGAGCCGAGCCACTGTTTCTCATATCGCAATTCATCCGTGGTGATCCCTGCAAAGAAACATGGTTTTGCACTGACCAAAATGGTTTTTCCCATGAAATTTGGACATGAGTTAGTCATGGTTCCTACAAAATTTCCGTTGGACCGATTCTGAATTTGTTGTGTTTGGAATATTTTGGAATCAAAAGCTGAGACTGGCCATCCATTGTCTTGGAAGATATTGGAGGCCAAAAAGAATCCTAAACATATCGATTTGTTTGGAATCATACCCTCAGCAACTAGGACAACGCCGGAGCAACAGTTCAAGACTAGTTCAAAAGGTATCAACTCCTGCAGAGATCTACAAAGCAGCATCCTGGTACCATGCAATGCCCTGAATCATGTGGCATGTGTTCTCCCACAGCAGCAGCACCTGGATTCAACCAGGCACTGTCCACCTGAGAATCAAAGCATCGAGGGTCGATCAAGTCCCAACCCCCCATGTAGAACATCGATTGAACATGTTCATGATTATGTTCAAACTCCAAACAGAAAAAAAAATGTTAAATGCACAGCTATTTGCACCAACCATTTCATGCCATGCACTGAGAAGGCGGCATAGGCACGAACACTTGCCGTCTTAACCTTTGTGCAAAATTGGTGAACATGGCATCTCCAAACAGTTTTTAGGCAAAAGACCTGAAGGTGAATGGTGCACTTAGGGCGGGACCGTGTCCATGACAAACCGGTGATGAACACCAAGGCCACCGGAGAACAACAAGAGCAATTGCACTGTTTTGGTCCAGAAATTTGGCTACCATTGTCGGAACAAACGTTTTGTGGTTCAAAACCTTTGGGACATGCAAAACATTCAGATTTCCACAACGACAACCCACTGTGAAAACATGTTGGTTGAAATTGGGTTCGTTTGAATTTATTGGTCCTGGTGCGACACATGCACAATGCACATGCAAAAATTTCACTAATCAAAAATCAACAACAAAATGCAAATGTAAATGTACCACCCTGTGACCACAAACAACCAAAACAACCAAAACCCCCCACCACCACCACCACCACTACCACCACCACAACCACAACCACAAGTACAACCCCAACCACGACCACAACTACAACCATAACCACAACCACAACTACAACCACAACCACAACCACAACATGCAACAACGACAAACCAAACCTGCAGCAGCGACAAACCAAACCTACAACCACAATCACAATCACAACCATAACAACAACGGAAACAACGGCAACAACAACAACAACAACGACAACAACGACACAACGCAAAATTAACAAACATTTGCAACCCAAACGCAGGTTCCAAGGTTGCAAGCAGGTTTCCAGGATTGCAATTTTTCGGGGCGTCCAAGATTCCAAGGTTGCAGCCTTCCAAGGTTCCAAAATTCTGAGGTTCCAGATTCCAGAATCACAATTTTGCAACGTTGAAATCTCACGGGGCAAGGTTGCAGGGTCCAAGATCTGGATTGGCAAGGTTCCAGGGTTTGAAGAATCCAAGCATCAACGTTCCGGAGTTCCAAGGGTCTGAGTCTAGGTTTGATGATCAACACCGAAATGACCAGAACCATGCAAAAGAACTGCAAAACACAAAAATTTGTTGCAGTTTCATCTGATAGAAACAAATCATGATCCACAAGGAAGCGTCGGCTTTGCAAAGTTCCGAAGCTCAAAGTTTTTCAACGTTTCAAAATACAACACGACACTGTTTCGGGGTTTCACATTTCACACCATTATTTTATCATCCCCCTTGAAATTCAGCGAGTAGGTCGCACCCCCTGATTCTGTAAGTACAAAGCTGGGGCCTGACCCTCAGACTGGTGTCCCCATCATTACAAAATCAAAGGTACCAGACCTTTCCAAGCATGGTTTTCATTACAAAATCAAGACTGTACATGAATTTTTTACAGAGCAATTGACCCCCTCATTGAAGGCAAGAATCTTAAAATAATATCAAAATCATATTATTTGGTACCAAAAAAACACCCTTGGATTTTGTAATGGGCCTGATTTTATAAGGATTTCGGTCTGGACCCTTGATTTTGTAACATGATTTTTCCCCTTATGACTCCAAGGTTTGATTTCATAATGGGCCATGTTTTTAAAATGTTTTTATAGTAGACCATGATTTTGCAATGCCCTATCAATTCATTTTCGGGGTGTAGACCATGATTTTGTAATGCCCCCATCAATGCCCCATCAATGCCCATGTTGTGGATTCAAATATAATACAGCATAAAATCACTTTATAAAATCAAACCTTTTAGTGGGAACAGATTACAAACATATGGATCCTTACAAAATCAACCCCAATGTCATCTAAAATTGGTTCAGAAATTTCTCTAACATTTGTAAAAATGGGACCATTTTGGCACCCCCCCAGGGGGTCTGGTACGGCAAAGCACTCATCTGCGCACCCTACATTTCACTCATCTGCGCATCCTAACTCATCTGCGCATCCATGCACCAAATTTGACTCATCTGCGCATCCCATCATCATATCGCACAACATTCCAGCCTAGTATGTAAGGCACACTCATACTGTTTTCTATGTAAGGCTACTCTATCTGCTGTATAAACACACTGTCCCGTCGCCAGTTCCGGCCCCAAGTATGTTCTCACTGCCACTTCCATGTCCACTTCCGCCTTGCCAACTCTTCGCCAAGTTCTTCGCCAACTTCCGCACGCAGTGGGCACTGCTGGACCTCAACTGTTTTTTTTGCTCAAGTGTGGCCGATTCAGCTCGAAGGCTCGGTCCTCTATACTGCACATAAAGAATTCAAAGAAAATGGCCTAGTCTGTACAGGGCGAGGCGAAATGCACTTCCCCAGGCCAGAAGTGCGTATCTACTCCCGCAGACAAAGACCAACAACCAAACAGAAAAGCAAGGAACGGAGCCGAAGCCCAAACACAAACAAACACACAACAATTGCCACCTGTGAAGGAGGGAACTCTAGAAGTCCCTTCACAGCAAAATAAAAAGACCCTGCACAGGGTATTGCCAATGTGCAAACGGAAATAAGCACATTGGAAACTGAGGGAGCAAATCACCGTCAGGGTGTGTACGCTCATAAACACTCAGTCAATGAATTAGCTATCTAAGCAAAAAGCCGTAGCAAACTACTGCCGCTCAGACGCCTCTCAGGTGTGCTTTGTCTAGTTATCATGATCACGAAAATAGCCATCGAAGAACCTCTGGTAGATGGCAGATGAAAGTTGACGAATGGATGCTGCCCCCCTAAAAGGGGGCACAATGATCACATAGTTTCAGCCCCCCTGGGAGGGGCCTCCTGTTCACTACGGTAGGCTATGCAAACCAGGGTAGCCCTGGACAGAAGCCGAGGGCTTTTTTTTTGTCCGAGCCCGTTGGTCTACGGTCTTGAGTCTTACCTGCGGACCAGCGGGGAATCGAACCACCACCGGCAGTCTGTCAGCGACACAAGAGTGCCGCGATACCAACTGCACCACGAGGACGACTGGACAGAAGCCGAGGGCATCTTCACCCACCGCATGATGCAGCAATGCTTGCTGGCAGCAGTCCGCACACAGGAGGATACTACAACCAGCCATTTGTTCGCATACACATCAGCGGGAGCAAGCTTATCTGCACCAGATTGGATGGCCATGTGCTGTGCATCTCTTCTTCTAGGCCAACATGCGTGTACCAACAAAGCTACAAAACAATACCCAGCGCAACTTGTCAGCACCGCAATTGCCTTGTGCGACGTCAATGATGTTGAAGATGCTTGAGTACAGCGGTCATCAAGAAACAAATTATTAGATCTATGGCCCAAAAAGAGGTGAGAGCAACAAACTTGTGTAAGCTGCACACTAGAGTCCTCTCAGATGTGTTTTTTCCATCTTCTAGGTTGGTCAACTTTGCGAGTTCTTACGGGCGGTCGAACAGTTGGAAAAGTGACACCACAAAAGCTCATACTCAGACCGCTCTAAGCTGCGGCAGCAGTTCAAGTCTAGACTCCTACCGAATTTTTCAGCCCAGGAAGAACATGCTTGATGATTTTTTTCAGTCAATTATAAATGAGTGGCGCGGAGTAGCGACGGATTGGTGAATGTTGCATTGCATGGGGCCGGAAAGTCAATTGAAATCAGGCTTCGCATGTGCTAGCCTCCTCTGTTCCAACTCTTATGCTTGTTGCTTATTTGTTTCCGTCCAACGCCTCTTGGCTTTCGCCAGGTCGTTCAACACGTTCAGTTGCATGTTGCATAGAACCGGTAAATTGACTAATTAATGCATACATGTAGCCGCCATCTGATTGGAGGCAACAAAAGTGAATTTGGTATGGGACCTGTACATGGTCCAGCAGCCGTCACGATTCCATTGCAAAAACACAGCAAACAAAAAGACAACACCCAAAAGCAACAGAACAGACAAAACCAAAACCAATCAAAAAATAAAAAACAAAACGCAAAGGGCAAAGTGATCGGCGGTCCAGTTCAGTGACAAGCGATGAGAAAGAGGGGATAGCATTGTCAAAGGAAGTTGGGAAGCAATACTTCTGAGGTACGGACAAATAGAATTCTAAGTCTTGAAATGATGAAGGGTGGTGCGCGATTGACACTGGACCTTGAAGGGTGGTGTGCGATTGAGACTTGTGACTTGACCTTGAAGGGTGGTGCGGGATTTAGACTTGACCTTGAAGGGTGGTGTGAGACTTCACATGACCTTGATGAAGGGTCGTTGCAGATCGGATTGAGACTTGACCTTGAAGGGTGGTGTGAGACTTCACATAACCTTGATGAAGGGTCGTTGCAGATCGGATTGAGACTTGACCTTGAAGGGTGCTGCGTGATTAAGACTTGACCTTGAAGGGTGGTGTGCGATTGAGACTTGACCTTGAAGGCTCGTGTGCGATTGAGACTTGACCTTGATGAAGGGTGGTTGCAGATCGCATTGCAATGGCTGCAGGAACGGGGAGGAAGCCGGAGCACCAAACCTTGTTTTTCGTGTCAAGTGGCTGCAGCCGGCGTGAAAGGTACCTCGTCTGTGCGCGACGGGTGCAGCTGCGGTCGCTTTGTGCGCGAATTGTTCCTCCTATGTGTTTTGCAACGAGTGGTTGTGTCTGCGTGCGTAGTTCTATGCGGTTCTTGAATCTTGGTTGCAGATTGAATTGGAATGGCTGCTTCATTATCGTCAACCTGGGACCTTCCCAGCTTAGTGTGCACCTCTGGACCTCAACCTGGGACCGCCCCAGCTCGTTTTTTCTTTGGTCGGCGCCCGTTGCCTTTCGGCGGGTCGCACTTGAGACTCCCGAGTGGACCAGCAGGGATTCGAACCACCACCGGCAGTCTGTCAGCGCTGGCAAGACCAACGCCATACCAACTGAGCCATCGGGTCGCCTTGGGGGACCGCCCCAGCTCGTCATTTGATGTTGCCACGTGCGTAGATAGGTGCGGGTTTGTCACGGGATGCTGCGAAACGCATTGTAATGGCTGCATGAATGTTGCATGGGCTATGTTTTGGGGAGGAAGCCGGAGCACGAAACCGTGCGTTTTTCCATGTAAAGTGGCTGCAGCCGACGATGAAAGGTACCTTGTCTGTGCGACGGGTGCGGCTGCGGTCGTTTTGTGCGCGAATTGTTCCTCCTATGTGTTTTGCAACGAGTGGTTGTGTCTGTGGTTGCTCGGTGCCGCGGCTGCATGCGTAATACTACTGTCTTTTGCAGCTAAGATCGAAAATCGTATTGGAATGGCTGCATCAAGGCTGCGACAGTGATTTGGCAGCAGATTTTCGCAATTTTGGCGC